TGTTCTGTTTTCGTCTTGAAGACATTTAACACACATTTCCCTTTATTCATATTTCTTGTTGATCTTCCCCTAAGTAGCTATCAATGTTAAACAATTCAAACAAGAAAACTAACTGCCTGATTTATGTACAACACAATAAGTAAAAGACAAACATGAAATACAGCAACTATTGACAACCACCAATAAACAGGCTTCTGACTTGGATCATGCACGTACAGAATGTGGAGGGGTTAAAAATTATTGTGGAAGCCCAACCCTCCCCTAACCTGGAACAGCAGTAAAACACAACATAAAACAAACTATAAAATCAATAGAACCAGTTGTAAAAGAATTTCTTATAAGATGGATTTTTTTCTGATAAGATTTAACTATATTCAACAATGTTTATGGTTAATGTTGGTAGTTATCTTCCATTTTGAATTAACAAGAAAACCTTTTTCCATGAAGGAACAATATATGATCATGACTCCATATCTTTAAGATAGATTCCCAAAACAATAGTTTCATTCTGTGAACTGATTTTTATAAGCAATCGGCTAATACCTCAGGTCTGTATGTTTTTTGGGTATGAATTAAAACAGACTTCCTTTTGAAAGAGTATTATGTAAGAATTATTGTGCAGGAAGTGCCCCTTTAAAATGAGCAGTTGAAAAAAATACCTGTATCAAAAGTTAGATTACCTTATTAATTTTACAATATTACAGCTCTTTATGGCAACATACAGGTGCAGATAGTATAGAAAAAGGCAGAGTGGATCCACTTGGAAATTCGGCAGAGGAATGTGGGTTCCATCAGAGTTATATGTCTTGACTTAAACATACTTTTGAAATTGAAAGGCCACTACTGCACAAATGCTTTATTCATATATGTATTACAACCACAACTGTATACATTGTAACTTGATCTGTTTCGTCATTACAGGAATTTGGTGTTGATGACAGATCTTTGATTGTCTCTGTTAAATTTACTTACAGCTTTTGACTTGACTCTGAGTGATTACGAACGTAACATTTGGTATAGACACCTGTTTATTGTGGAAGACATATGTTTTAACCTTAAGATGTCTCTTTGTTTTCTGTGTTGTTTGTTTGCTGTCTCATTGACATACACCCCACATTTCTTTGTAATCATATTCCTTGTCTATTTATTGCTGAAAACTAGTACTACTCCTCAGCGACAAAAAGTTTTCATAAAAATTTCTTATTTATAAACACACTTGTCACAGGATACAATCACAACAAAAGAAGAAAATACATTTATTTTCAGATCACATGGAAATCTCAAATATGGTTAAATTACAAACAATACTGGCAAGATTGTGTACAAAAATTTGATTTTTGACATAATAGAATAATGACAACTATTCAAGACTCTTTCCAAAATTTGTAAACAAACTTTCACTCCAATTATATACACACATTTCACCCCATCATCGACTAACTCTAAACTAAAAATTAATAGAAAATATGCATTCAAATTTTTGACATCATATTGTTTCCACAAAAATCTTAAATTTTGTTGGACAATTTCATAAAAGAATAGTGACAGTTTATAAACTGAACAATCAGACTATATAAATAATAAAATCCCTATTCAAATAACAACCCTTACTCCACCAAAATTGGATTGGGTATTAGAATATTACTTCATTAAAATCCATGATGAAATGGAATAAAAAATTACATTTCTATTTTTATGGGAAAACAATATACATAAATTTTGTTAAAAAATCAACACATTCCTAAAGGGAATTGTATTCCAAATTTTTATGCAAATACAGAATAAAAATATAGCATCTTTGCTATATCATAGGTACTGGTGCAAAAGAAGGACATGTTATTTAAAGTTCATTATATGTTTTTCAATCCAGTCTACTAAAATATTACAACTATGAAAATCAAATAAAGTTGGAAAACTATCAGCAGTAACACAAGGACTGACGTACATGCTTCAATATAAATAGATGCTTTGTCTATGTATATATCCCTAATTTTTCATAGTGGCATATGGAATTTATTTGGAATCCAGTTGGGATTGATACATGACATTACAATCAGATATGTTACACATCTACCATCCTCTGTATGGCCAGTTCAGGGAAACTAACACTGAACTATTTCCACTATCTTTATATAGAACTTCAGAGGAAATTAGGACTTTGATGGAATTTAACTAAGCAAAAAAGTAATAAGAACTTCAACACTGTGATCTTTACAATGCAACAGCTTCATTATGCTTCCAATCTTCATTAAAAGTATATACAAATACCCCAAAATAACCTTTTTACTTTATTTGTAATTCTCTACATATAAATATCTTTTTCTTCAATAGTTAATATGCTTTATAGTATTTATCTAACTTTAAAAGTGAAACATAACACATCTATACAATACAAATGTGGCGAGCTTTCAACATATTAAAGTACAAATATCTTTTAGGGTGATATAAATAGTGATCATATTTTGAGATTCTTAGCACTGACAAAAATCCACACTATTAATTAATTTGAGCAGGTTTGCCAGGATTATAAAATACATTCATTTATTAAGTAATCATTAAACTGAAAAGAGAAATCCTTATTTATTGGTTGTAATTGTTAAGAAATACATTCAAAAATTTTCTTGAAAAGTCACATGATATTTATAGTAAAAATAACATGTGATATGAATAACAATGAGACAACAATCCAGCAAAGACAAAAAAGTAGAGAAAGTGAATCTATATGTCTATGGGTTGCTGTATAACAAATTGCTTGATGACCATTTTTCATTCTCTCAGTTGTGAAAAAAAATCCTACTTATGGCGGCCCTAAAAGGGCCATCAGCAAAAAATAAATAACCAACAACAAACCCATTTCTTGTTTTACCTATAATGGTTACTTGGAAAATTTAAACCACTGTAGCTCCCATGTTACTTCACTCAATTGCCTTTTTGTTTGACAATCATTATTAGTATAAAGTTGGTAAGTAACAAAAATCTTGTAGTTCAAGGAGTTAAGGAATTGAAAATTGATTTCAGAATTAAGAATTACATATGATGTTGTCTAATGTTCCACTATATAAGATAGGATCAAAACAAGACATTTGTATTAAGTATTGTGTACAATTTATCTGTTCCTAAAATGTTTAAGATAAATCCTGTTGTCTGATAGGTCATTGTAAATATTGTGATGTGCTAAATATCTAAAAAATGTATGACAAAACTGAATTAAAGAGCTAATGTAAAGTTTTGGGTCAAGCTATGTCCCTGCTTCAATTTTTGTTATAGATTTCTATTGTATCAAAATATAATTGAAAATGGTTTTTGAAAAATTATAATTTTTTTATCTTAGTTTCAAACTAGATCAAATATAATTATGATTGTTGTGTATTTAGTTTGTACATTTACATGGACTAGAACGTCTATTAAAATAATCAAAATAATAATGATTTTAAGGTAGTTTTTAGCTGTTTCTGGTGAAAGTGTAAAGTCAGTTTTTGTTGTTTTTACTTTGTATATTTTTTGTTGTAACCAGAAGTTATTTGTAGTTATTGCAAAAGAAATGAGACTTTTCCATAGATTCACTTGTAGGTTACCTGTTGATTTAAACTTTTGTAAGTTCTGTTGTCTCATTGAATAAATATAATACATGTAGTTATTGTTCTCTGTGGATACTATTCAATGGGACCTTTAAATTTCTTCTGAGAGAAATCCATCAATCATTGATTAGTTTACCTTAAGAAAAAAAAGTCATCCACTTAATAGATGAAAATACATGTATCAACTCACAAAACTGCATGTGATATTGTATCTATTCAATATCAATAATATATTTTCAATCTGTTCAATATAAACATATTTAATCATAAAAAGTTGATTTCTGACAAAAATTGTAACATTGTTCCCATTGAAATTTGTGTTTATTTGTGTTTGATTACTCAAATAAATCTAGGAAGGCCTTATTTTATTTGTCAAACACACACACACACAAATTCAATAGGTACAATGCTGAAAATGTTGTCAGAAATCCATTTTTTATGTTTAAATCAGTGTTTATATTGAACAGATTGAAAATATATTTTTTGTATTGAATAAATACAACATCACATGCAGTTTTGTGTGTTGATACATGTATTTTCATCTACTTAGGAGAGCATTTTTCTTCAGGTAAATTAATCAATGAGTGATGGATTTCTCTTAGAAGAAATGTAAAGGTCCCAGTGAATAAACTCCACCGAGAACAATACCAATTGCATTCTTTCAATGGGACAGTACATTGTCCAAAAATTTAAATCGATGCAGGTAAAGCAAGTCAAACCAGGGAAATGTTTTATTTCCTTCGCAAAAAAAATAAATTGCTTCGCCCAGCACAGCTGGATACAACCGCAGAGGTCCAACCCTGAACAGTTGGGGCAAAAATGGACACAATATTCGCGCTTGATACAGATCTGAATTTGGATTGTAATTAAATATTTGACACATAATAGGTTTCTGACACAGAATAACTGTAGTCATAGAACTTAGAATTGGTTATATGATTTGAATTTATATTCAATTTTTTGCTTTTGAGCAATACACTATGCTGTTGCGAATTGACCCCCCTTTTTTTTGCTTATGTGCAATACACTATGCTGTTGCGTATTTACCACAATCAAAACGTTGTGTTTGGATTAACTCCCTTACACTGCTTTTAAATTGTCTTAATTGTCCATTAACCAGGAAACCTTTGTTTTTCACCCTTTTTTGCCCCTAATTCCTAAACGGTTTGAGCCATAACCCCCCAAAGCAAATCCTAACCATCCCTTTGTGGTATGGAAACTTGTGGTATAATTTCAGAGAGATCCATACACCGTTCCACAAGTTATTGTCTGGAAACTAGAAAAAATGCTTATTACGGCCCCTTTTTGGCCCCTAATTCCTAAACTATTAAGACCATAACCCCTAAAATCAATCCCAACCTTCCTTTTGTGGTAATAAACCTTGTGTTTAAATTTCATAGATTTCTATTTAATTATACAAAGTTATTGTCCGGAAACCAACTGTCTTCGGACGACGCTGACGACGACAAGATACCAATATACCAATATACAACCGCAAAATTTTTTGTTTAATGTCCAGTGTCAAATATTTCATGGATATTTAGGACGAGAATGATTCTGAGTTCAGATTAAAGGCACTTAAAATACTCATCACACATGAAATGTGCATATTCTAACCAATAGTTGGCCATTTCAGTGGAAAATTCTAGTAGGATTAGAATGAATAATCATCATTTTCTTAGAATGTTGTGCATATGCAGGGAAAGTCAAGATTCCACACATCTCTTGTGTACAACCAGTCCTAGAAATGAAAGATATAGAAAAAAGGATATGTATGTCACTAAAACTTTTTTTAACTTCACTGCAGATTGCATTGAAAGTAGGCACATGTTTTGCTCTCATGATAAATTAGTATTAGATTCATTTAATCTATTAATTTGTTTTCTTAAATATTACAAAAATTATACCTAAAAGTAATATCTGTGACAATAACTCCTAATGGTGTGTATCAACATTTCCAATGGTGTAGCCATGTTCATATCATACTAACATATCATAAAAATGTGTAAATCTGTCATAAGATAAAAGACTATTTGTCCAAACAAAAACTGTATTATAACAAATAGACAGACAAGTACAATATAGTGTACTAATGACTCTATGAATGGAGGAGTTATATTTCAAATGCCCAAATAAAACTTTGAAATACTGGTATTGTCTTTTTCTGAGTTAACCTAAAAAAGGTTCACAAAAAAATTGAAAATTACAACATAAGTTTTGAAGAGAACTACATATAAAAAACTTTGATACATAAAATCAAATGTAGATACTTTAAATACTATTTTGTATTAACCCGTGAAACAAGGTTTTTGAATATGAGTTCATAATTTCATTAACATTTTTCTAGTCACAATATAAAAGTTTCCTCCTAAGAAAAAGTATCATCAACTCTTAGGTGATGCCTGGTGAACCCATTCTATTACTTCTGTCAATCCTTTACCATTAAAGGCACTAATTTCTAAGATACTAATTTGATGTTTTGTATTCTGTCTAATATCGTCTATTCTAATCAGAGATTCCACTTCAAATCTTGATAAAGCTAATGGCTGATCACTGTAAAGTATAAAACAATTATGTAAATATCTATATATGTGGATAGTTGTCTCATTGGCTATCATATCACATCTCCTTATTTTCATACTAACCAGTAAGTAATGTTTGTCATTTTCACTTTTAATCTTTTCCATTTGAAAAATTGTAATAATATATGCACATTCTCATAACATGTTTAACTATCTAATATCATCATAATACTATGTGCAAGTTCATATTATTATTTTTTTTCATTACATGAACATGATGAATATCTTACATTGTATTATTGTATGTAGGTCATGTATGTAAAATATGAACTATGCTCAAAATGGGCTCACAAGGAGCATAATACAATATAAGACATTAATAAGACAATAACAAAAACTATTAGAACTGAATTTTAATGTGCGTATTGTTATGCGTTTACTTTTCTACATTGGCTAGAGGTATAGGGGGAGGGTTGAGATCTCATAAACATGTTTAACCCCGCCGCATTTTTGCGCCTGTCCCAAGTCAGGAGCCTCTAGCCTTTGTCAGTCTTGTATTATTTTTAATTTTAGTTTCTTGTGTACAATTTGGAGTTTAGTATGGCGTTCATTATCACTGAACTAGTATATATATTTGTTTAGGGGCCAGCTGAAGGACGCCTCCGGGTGCGGGAATTTCTCGCTGCATTGAAGACCTGTTGGTGACCTTCTGCTGTTGTCTGTTCTATGGTCAGGTTGTTGTCTCTTTGACACATTCCCCATTTCCATTCTCAATTTTAAAGAAAAGAAAAAGCAGTTTGAACATCATGAACTACACACATATATAACTATATATAAATATACGTTCAACAGTGTTTCCCTCCTTCTCAGGTACACCCCAACATGAAAAATTTCCTAAAATAAATTGGCAATGTATTGGATATTTAACTTAACTGCAAAAGCCACCAAGGGACAGTGCTGCATGGCAAGGTGGGAGATAGACTCACATGGTATACATGAATGTAAAATAGATAACTTGGTTATGGTATTATGAGCAGATGCACAAACCTGGTATGTCATCCTCGTGCCTGATGCAGAAGGGGTTGATACATATTGTAAGATGACCCAACTGCAAGAGGCACCAAGGGACGATGCTAAATGACATGCCCAAGTTTTTATAGTACGAAATAGAAAAATACTTAAATATATATGGGAATAACTCTGATTGTCAATGATAAGATAAATACAAGAAGGTACATTATTATGTATATATAAGACTGAAATCCTCTCTTTTTATCTTGTAGTATTTTGATGATCCTAGCATCTTTACCACAAACATTTGTTACTCACTGAGCACATAATCACTAACCTTTTATTCAGTAAAAGCAATATCGGAGTATTCTGAACAGCAGTGTTATTAAGCACTGTCAGGAATTGTATACATGAGGCTGCTATTTGCAATGTATTAGATATGTCTATCACAAACTGTAAAAAAGAATAAACTGTTAACACAGAGATATGTCTCGTTCGCCTTTTTGTTATTTTGATAATGCTAATGTTGAATTTAAAATAGCAATACTTTAACATGTAAGTTATGAAAATATTCAAAGTCAGTGAACCATGACTGAAGGTACAGGGCTAAACAATCTCCATGGAAATGAGCTGTACCAATGCTAATAGAACTGCATACCAAATACCACAGACTTATCATAAGTTGTTCCTTTTATTAACAAACCTAAACACAAACATTAACTTGTAAACTATGTAAAAGTTTCAAAGTCAAAGAACCATGATGAGGGTGTTGGGCTATATAATCTCCATGGAAAAGAGACTAACAAATGCCAATACATTTGCATACCAAATATCATTGACTTAACATTAGTGGTTCATCTTAAACTGATCTAATCACAAACTAATACATGTGAACTAAGCAAAAGTTTCAAAGTCAATAAACCATGACTGAAGGGTATGGACCAAATGAGATGTGCTAATGCTTATACAACTGCATACCAATTATCATTGACCTACCACTAATGGTTCCCCTTAAACTGACCTAATCACAAACTAATACATGTAAACCAAGCAAAAGTTTCAAAGTCAATAGACCATGACTGAGGGGCAGGGCCAAATAATCTCCATGGAAATGAGATATGCCAATGCTTATTCAACTGCATACCAAATATCATTGACCTACCACTAGTGGTTCCCCTTAAACTGACTTAATTTTAAACTAAGCAAAAGTTTCAAAGTTAATAGACCATGACTGAGGGGCGGGACTAAATAATCTCCATGGAAATGAGATGTGCCAATGCAAATACAACTGCATACCAAATATCATTGACCTACCACTAGTGGTTCACCATAAACTAGACCTAATCACAAACTAATACATTGTTGACGCCGCCACAACAATGATGCTGATATATACATGTATAAGTTGATCCAACTTATCCCTCACATCTTAATGTTTTGGTTGTGCCACTGAGAATGTTGCTTTTTAAAAGGCATCATTAACAGTTTCATACTTTCTTCTTTATAACTTTCACACTACATGCACTTTGCTGTATGTACTCTGTGTCCTATGGTTCTCCATGGTTCTTGGACATGTAATGACATCTCAATTCATTCACAGTGGAGAAACTTTGGGAAACTTACAATTTTTTCTGAACGGATAAAAGTAAATACTGGTACAAGCAATATAATTAGGGATGAACACAGAAACAATAGAAAGAAGGAAAATATATATCCAAACTTCATCTTAGAACTATAGTAAATGTAGATGTAACCTTCATGTATGCTACCAAAAAAATTTTCACTACTGGTATTATAAATTCCTACTTACAATCAATGCTGTTAAATCTTTAAGATAACTGTTCCATATAGGACACATACAACCTCCAACCTCTCTTATAACTGTCTCTTGTTTCTTACCAATAGGAACATTCACCAGATTTGTACCTACCTATTTATCAAAAAATTAAATTTATCATAAAATTGACATTAAATGTAGGCCTTTGGGAAAACAATGTATTTATGGTTAAACTTGATTACTTTGCTTTTGAGGAATGCACTCTAAAGGGTGTCCGATACAGTTTCACGTTATATTGTCATTTTTATACGACCGCAAAAATTTTTGGTATGACGTTGGCGTCGTCGTCGTCCGGCGTCGTCCGAAGACACATTTGTTTTCGCACTCTAAATTTAGTTTAAGTGAATGGATCTCTATGAAATTTTACCATAAGGTTCAATACCACAAAAGGAAGGTTGGGATTGATTTTGGGGGTTATGGTACCAACAGTTAAGGAATAAGGGGCCAAAAAGGGGCCAAAAATAAGCATTTTTGTAACTTCCAGACATAACTTGTGTGTTAGTGTATGGATCTCTCTGACATTGTACCACAATGTTCCATATCACAAAGGGAATGCTGGGATTGATTTTGGGGGTAATTGCCTCAAAATATTAGGAATTAGGGGCCAAAAAAGGGGCAAAAAACAAGCATTTTTCTAGTTTCATGACAATAACTTGTGTGAAAGTGTATGGATCTTTCTGAAATTGTACTACAAGGTTCCATATCACAAAGGGAAAGCTGGAATTGAGTTTGGGGGTAATTGCCCGAAACGTTTAGGAATAAGGGGCCAAAAAAGGGGCCAAAAATAAGCATTTTTCTAGTTTCCAGACAATAACTTGTGTTCAAGTGTATGGATCTCTCTGAAATTGTACCACAAGGTTCCATATCACACAGGGAATGTTGGGATTGATTTTGGGGGTAATTGCCTCAAAATTTTAGGAATTAGGGGCCAAAAAAGGGGCAAAAAACAAGCATTTTTCTAGTTCCATGACAATAACTTGTGTGTAAGTGTTTGGATATTTCTGAAATTGTACTACAAGGTTCCATATCACAAAGGGCAAGCTGGAATTGAGTTTGGGGGTAATTGCCCGAAACGTGTAGGAATTGGGGGCCAAAAAGGGGCCAAAAACACATTTTTCTAGTTTCCAGACAATAACTTGTGTTCAAGTGTATGGATCTCTCTGAAATTGTACTGCAAGGTACCATATCACAAAGGGAAGGCTACCACAAATATGTGTAAAAATTATTTTTGGGCCCCGTTGTACCACAAGGTTCCATATCACACAGGGAATGTTGGAACCTTGTGGTACAATTTCATAAGGGGGGTCAAAAAATTTGGAGGGGGGGATTTTTTTTTTTTCCTTTTTTTTTCTTTTAAAATTTTCCATTTTAAGTTGGTTTTTTCTGATTTATATTTAAAAGCAAATAATAATGATATGGTAGGAGATACACACCAAACATAATGTGTAAATTATTATATAATAAGTATTGTGCAATAGCAAGAAATTTTCAATTGCACAGTATTGCACAATAGCAAGAAATCTTCAATTGCACAGTATTGCACAATAGCAAGAAATCTTCAATTGCACAGTATTGAGCAATAGCAAGAAATATCCAATAGCATCATATTGCGCAATAGCAAGAAATTGTTAATTGTGCAGTATTGCGCAATAGCAAGAAATATTCAATTGCACAGTATTGTGCTAAAGAAGATACTTCGTATAAATTGCTTATTTCTTGACCAATTTCAATGGGGTTTTATTCTTGAATTCTTGGGGTTCTTTAATATGCTGAATCTAACCGTGTATTAAGTTTTTGGATTTTGGGCCCCGTTTTTAAATTGGTCCACATTGAGGTCCAAAGGGTCCCAAATTAAACTTTGTTTGATTTTATCAAAAATTGAAATATTGGGGTTCTTTGATATGCCGGATCCAACCGAGTATTTAGATTCTTAATTTTTGGTTCTGTTTTCAAATTGGTCTACATTAAGGTCCAAAGGGTCCAAAATTAAACTTAGTTTGATTTTAACAAAAATTGAATTCCTGGGGTTCTTTGATATGCTGAATCTAAACATGTACTTAGATTTTTGATTATGGGCCCAGTTTTCAAGTTGGTCCAAATCGGGGTCCAAAATTAAACTTTGTTTGATTTCAACAAAAATTGAATATATGGGTTTCTTTGATATGCTGAATCTAACCATGTATTTAGATTTTTTATTTTTGGGCCCCGTTATCAACTTTGTCCACATTGAGGTCAAAAGGGTCCAAAATTAAACTTTGTTTGATTTCATCAAAAATTGAATTCTTGGGGTTCTTTGATATGCTGAATCTAACCATGTATTTAGATTTTGGATATTGGACCATAATAGGTGAATGTCCAATTTAAAATTTTTAAGTTCTTAGACCACATTTATTCTGTGTCAGAAACCTATGCTGTGTCAAATATTTAATCACAATCCAAATTCAGAGCTGTATCAAGCTAGAATGTTGTGTCCATACTTGCCCCAACTGTTCAGGGTTTGACCTCTGTGGTCATATCAAGCTGCGCCCTGCGGAGCATTTTATTGATTTTTGGCCCAGTTTTCAAGTTGGTCCAAATTGGGGTCCAAAATTAAACTTTGTTTGATTTCAACAAAAATTGAATAAATGGGGTGCTTTGATATGCTGCATCTAACCATGTATTTAGATTTTTTATTTGTGGACCCTGCTATCAAATTGGTTCATATTCAGGTCAAAAGGGTCCAAATTTGATTTCATCAAAAATTGAATTATTGGGGTTCTTTGATATGCCAAATCTAACCGTGTATTTAGATTTTTAATTTTGGGTCCCGTTTTTTAAATTGGTCTACATTAAGGTCCAAAAGGTCCAAAATTAAACTTAGTTTGATTTTAACAAAAATTGAATTCCTGGGGTTCTTTGATATGCTGAATCTAAACATGTGTTTAGATTTTTGATTATGGGCCCAGTTTTCAAGTTTGTCCAAGTTGGGGTCCAAAATTAAACTTTGTTTGATTTCAACAAAAATTGAATATATGGGGTTCTTTGATATGCTGAATCTAAACATGTATTTAGATTTTAGATTTTTGGCCCAGTTTTCAAGTTGGTCCAAATTAGGGTCCAAAATTAAACTTTGTTTGATTTCAACAAAAATTGAATATATGGGGTTCTTTGATATGCTGAATCTTACCATGTATTTAGATTTTTTATTTGTGGGCCCGCTATCAAATTGGTTCATATTGAGGTCAAAAGGGTCCAAAATTAAACTTTGTTTGATTTCATCAAAAATTGAATTATTGGGGTTCTTTGATATGCCAAATCTAACCGTGCTTTTAGATTTTTAATTTTGGGTCCCGTTTTTTTAATTGGTCTACATTAAGGTCCAAAGGGTCCAAAATTAAACTTAGTTTGATTTTAACAAAAATTGAATTCTTGGGGTACTTTGATATGCTGAATCTAAACATGTGTTTAGATTTTTGATTATGGGACCAGTTTTCAAGTTTGTCCAAGTTGGGGTCCAAAATTAAACTTTGTTTGATTTCAACAAAAATTTAATATATGGGGTTCTTTGATATGCTGAATCTAACCATGTATTTTGATTTTGGACATTGGACCATAATAGGTAAAAATTGAAGTTCTTAGACCACATTCTTTCTGTGTCAGAAACCTATGCTGTGTCAAATATTTAATCACAATCCAAATCAGAGCTGTATCAAGCTTGAATGTTGTGTCCATACTTGCCCCAACTGTTCAGGGTTCGACCTCTGCGGTCATATCAAGCTGCGCCCAGCGAAGCATTTTATTATAATTTTGAAATATGTTGTAGGCCTCGGCGAGTTATAAAAGAAATCACCAAATAAAACATAGGTCACTGTGCTTGTTTGGTGAAAATTGGGGACTTTTGCACTTTTGTAAAAAAGTTTAGCAAACTTATAAAAATTTTGGAGTTGATATTCTTCATCATAAATTAATAAGATTGGATTCAATCTGATGCTGTGATATGTGAAAATAAGGAGAAAATAAATTCTTGCAAGAATGACTAGTTAATTAAAATTACTGATAAGATGCTTAAAGTGGAATATTTTTTTACCTGAAAATGTGGAAAGCGAGGGGTTCTTATATTGTCATTTTTCTCCTTTTTCTATATAAACTGTCTTTTGTCATGCTTACTCAAAATAGCAAATAAAAAATATATGTCACCGTGCTGGTTTCGAAGATAAATCGCAATTTATTCTAAAATTTGCGTCACCCCTTGGTAACCTCAACGTTAGCGCGAAAACGCACGACGTTGCTTGCTGACAATTTGGACGTCTTCCACCAATTATCCCTGTAAGACTATCGTGACATTTTTCAGGTGTATACATAATTGCTTATAAAGAGCGACCTCAAGAAAATACAATTGTTTTCGAAAATAAAATCATGTGTATCTTAAATTCTGTTTTGTTTGGTGGGCTGCTGTTTCATTAAATTACACTCCCCCCAAATCATCCTTTTATTCACATTTTAATCTCTTTTTTTTCAATTTCATATTTATCCATAAAATCAAACTGTTATTTGGGTGAATGTTTACAGTTGAAGAAAACTTTACAATAGTTTAGAAATTTTTCATTATTTTTGATCTGTCAAAAATGGTTAAATTTATATCTGGAAGCCGGGACATGTTACCTATACATCCCCCATAATTTTGATTTTGGTTTTTGTGTCCTTTTTATTCCTCTCCCAAATTTCAACATGTGTACCATCCGAAATTACAATTTTAAAGCAAGTCACTAAAAGCATTTATAATCTGGTTAGTAAATGTTCAGAAATATCACATAATGTTGTAGAAACCTCAAGGTATATATAGATGTGATGATTTAAAGACATTAAAAAAGGGCCATCAGTGTGTAATAAATTTATGGAAAACTGGTCCTACTTTTTTTTGTTTTGTACTATTATATTGGCATACTTTCTCGTTGTAATAACCAGTATTTCATGGGTTTTTTTTGTTTTTTTTGGTAAAAGTTTGGATTAAAATCGGAATACTTTACTTATAGCCTAATTTTGATATTAAATAACTATACATATTTTTAAAAGTTGCATCATCGTTAATAATGGCGGCATACCATTATTACCGCGTCCTCTCATATTTGACATAAATAAATGACATAAAATGTTCGATAAGGAAATTTAATTCTTTTGAAGTGTTGATGTTTTTCATAAAAGGGATTACAATGATTAAAACTGGATAACACCAAAAGGGTCAGTCATCTTGAGATTGCTCACTATACGATATAGTGTTGACTTCATTGTTGAAGACCTCACAGAAGCTTCAAGACGAGGAACCGCAGAAACAGTTATATGTGTTTAATTTCTTATGATTTTAATAGCCATTTATCCTGTGGATATATACCCAAAATGTTAGAATCAAATGCACTTATCTCAAGGGCGTTGAATTTAACGTATGTGAGAAACATAGATACGGAAAATTACATGCAAAACGTCCCACCGAAAGTGACGTTTTGCGGGAATTCGAACACCTAACGTCGCGCCAAGAGTTAACTCCCTTGAAACTGTATCGGATACCCTTAACAACTGAAACACTCTGGATCATGGTTTTCAATGACTTGCAGTCATACATCAGATATTAACCATGATGCATTAACCTCAATGAAACCAAATTATTTTTTAAAAAATAAAAATTAAACTGATCTATTTCCATGTTTTTACTGACCAACTTGCTAAAAATCACCAAAAGTTAGATAATTCAATAATTTTAATATCCAATATATATACAAACTTGACATACTCTTGAATCAAAGTAAATGGTGCATGAAAAGTATGACATAAGAAAAATTCAAAGAATGCCTCCAAATATATTTGGAAATGATTTCATTCCAAAATATTTTGAGGTAATTATCAAAACATAGTTTGACATAATATAGTGTAAAGATTAATTAAGCTTTTTTTTATACATCAGTTTACTCACTGTAGGAATAGTAGATGGGATCTCTCCAAGTTTATCAATTTCTTTAACACTATCTATGCAGAAGTTAAGGAATGATCATCCAACAAATGACAAAAATTTTCCAGCAAATACCAGACATGCCAGATATATTAAGTATGTATAGAAAAAATAAAGGATTTAAAAAAGTGGATAAATTCATCCAAAGCAAGCTAAGACAACCTTTGTAGTGTTAAGTATGTGGTATTAAAATAGAAAATTGAATTTTCAATGCAACAATGAAGAAAAGTATCGAAATCCTGTACCCAAATGCCTGTGGTATTAACAGAAACAAGTCATCCATTAATTCCTGGTATTTATTCATTACTCCTGTCCATACATGAGTTTAAAAACTTATGCAGCAGAAAGTGTTGAATATATGAATTGATGCTATAACCATCTTGATACCTTATAAGGGTTGCCCACTGTAAATTATTCTTAGTCCTTACATTTTTTACACTAATATATTATCAAATACATTGTACAAGTAAATACTTCTTACATTTTTAATATATATACAAATTATTTGTACAGTCAAACCTGCTATAAAGGTCACATCTGTTAAGCAAAAACCTGTCTTGTCAGGTCACTCTCTCTTCTTGTTCCGTTATAATAATACCTATGTATTTAACACCAAGTATTACCCTGACTGATTGGTCTATTTCAGAAATAGTCTCTCTCTATGAAAGATGATGGAATTTTGATTTTTCAGAATCTTTTAGTTTAAAAATATTCGTGTATAGACAAACAGGTGGAATTCCTTACATTTTTATCAAATTTCTGATAGGAAAAACAATTTGGATTTTGCATATCTTCTATTAGGGTGTTACAGGAATCCTCCTAATTTGTACATTTTAGTACCTTTGAAAACTTGTACTCAACCACCTGATTTTCACCAAGTTAGACACCAACCCATACATCTAGCAACCTAAACTTATACCAACACAAAGTATAGCAACCTTGCCAACCGGTACCTAATCTTTTTATATCATTTTATTCGCATTATTCTTATACAAAGTATTATTGTATCACATAAAATTAAATATTAAAAGACACAGATTCATTGATTAAATATTAAGGCAATTCAGTAAAAAAATGTTTACTTATAAAGTAATAATTATTCTTCAATTTTTACCATTAGAGGACTGGAGTGCATGCTGCAACTTGAATTATACATTTAGCTACTTGTACATTTGTACATTCAAACTTTTCCTCAAAGCTGTAAACTGTATAATATAATATGCATATTGACCATGATTTTTTATTTATCAAAACTTATATACATGTAAATAACAAATCTAATAATATAAGGAGGTTATTGTGTTCAATTCTCATGAACATATAAATTATCTTAGATGTAGATATTTTTAATCAAATAATTACCCGAACATATTCATTATCTTAGATGTTGATATTTTTAATCAAATAATTATCCTCATATTTCAGCTGTCAAAAAAAGTTGTAATATTATTGATATGTAAAACGCTTGAACTGACTGAACATGTTGAATGAAATTGAACTATTCAAATGACACATACCATACAAAATATCACAGGAATCGGAAATTCTATCAATAATAAGGTATAGGGCATCTCAAAGATTGTCTGGCAACTATTTTTTATAGTTGACCGACGATCTTTGAGATGCCCCTATGCATTATTATTGATAGAATTTCTGATTCCTGTGAAAATATCGACCAATTTCAAGTTCTTTTTTTATGAATGAGTTACACTTGTTGACCTGATGTTAATCAGCGTAAATGACGTTCATAGAACTATTGACTCTATTTCTGAAATAGCCCATTATGCTTTAAATACATGTAACTATAGTGATAAATTTTATTTTTGAGGTGTTTCAACTTCTGTTTTTACTCCTGAAAGATATGTTAATACGTTCACAATCTAAAGGATACGAAAATTCTGAAGTCTTTTTAAAAGTAGAGTCTTTCCAACACCAGTTGGACCGATGACCAAACACATTTTAATCACATATCAGTATCATGCTTTGAATAAGGTGTTTTATTGAAAACAGTTGGAATGTTTACATCGCTTACGCCCATTTCGATGAACATCCGGTGTAAACGAAATACATTGTATTTTAACACAATACATTTTTTTATCATCAAAATAATAATTTTATTTCATGAAAAATATTTCCGTGAGGATGAATTCAACATTAATAGAACAAATCAAAATTTTGTTATGTGTAATTTGTAATACCACAAGGGATGTCATCAACACTTGAGTCACGGAAGTTCACGAAGAAGGAGACACCAATTTATCTGCGCTAATAAATTAACCAAAATGTTTTCAGGATCATCAGCTGGGTTTAACAGGGCTTTAGGTAATATAGCAAACCAAATATTCAATTTAATTATTCTAATTTACAAACATCAGTTTTCACAGTGGTTATTTAACTGGATATAGATGTATATGCGAATCGATTTTTTAATCTGACTGACATGACAGCATGCAGCAGTTGGCAGAGCAGACTAAGAAGTTGTGTGACATTAACTACATATTTAGTGTACACTGTTGAAAAATAGACCATGTTCTTGATATTGTACAGTGACTCTGACCATGCTGACTGACACATAATTTCTTTCATCATGAGTACAGTATACTAGAATGGAAAGGTCATGTAACTGTAACATTTCCCCCATCAGCCATTTTTCGTTAAAAGGTTATGATATAGAGTAAGGGAATGATGTTGGGTTGCTATCTCTTTGACACATATTCACATGACACATCTTCTTTAATTCACTTCCTGGTCTTTTAACAATTAAACTTTAGTGCCACTGGTAGCGACACCCATATAAGTATGTTCAGACCAATTTCAAGTTTTTTTTTTTTTTTATGAGTTATATTACAATGGTTGACCCAAAGTCAATCAGCGTAAATGACGTCAATTGAACCATCTATTCTTACATACATTGTTACTGTGACATAATAACATAAGCATTGTGACATAGGAAATGTATGGGAAATTGCACTAATTTGAAAGTCATCTATATGCGATGCAGGACGTGACGGCCATACTGCCATGACGTCCATAGGATGAAACGGCCATACCCCGAAAAGATGAAACGGCCATATGACAAAAACGGCCATACTTTGTGAAGACGTATCGTCCATGGTTTTTTTTTTTTTTTTATATAGATGTTATATATGAATTATGTTGATACTTATAGATGGTTATTATAACTTTTAGATAAACTTTACTGTTTTTATATTATTTATCATGTTTAATTTTGTTATATCATTTGTTTAATCATTATATATATATCGTAAATGAATGTGTTTACGGGTAATTTGTTATGTTATTGGAAAATTCTACAGTAGTCTCCGTCTTGGAAAGATGTTCAGCAAATGGAATGACTCTAAACTATAAGAAAGAAAAAAAAATACAGAATTATTAAACTATGTACTGTCTGAGGATCATGACAAATATAACTCGAACTTGATGAACTGCCTTCCTTAGAGTTAACCTTAACACTGAGTCCTGTTTTAAATTTCACCAAGACTGAGATTGAGAAGATTTTTATTGTTTAGAATAATATATTTTTTACAGATATAATAAAAAGATCTGTGACATGTGCTTGTATTTATATATCGTCATCGACAGCGACAGTCAACATTCCTACAGTTTAAACTTCATATAAAATAAGATGCCTTTATATCACATTACAATAAAAATGATTCTTCAGAAATTGCTTATAACTGATAATGAAGAAATAGTCAATATACTTACATAATATGGCCCCAACAAGTTGTAAACACGAGTGATGATGATCAAGCAAAGATAACTCTTACAAGAATAAATAAGATCTCTTGTACAGAAAAAAATACTACAAAATCATATTAATGATATTATTATGAATAAATACTTATTTTATTATTATATTTTATGCTATAACCTCAATAAAATTTTTTTTTTAAAGTGTGGACGATACGTCTCACAATGTGTGGCCGATATGTCCCATGGACGATGTGACGGTATGGCCGAAACATCCCATGGCCGTCATGGAAGTATGGCCGTCGCGTCTCGAAAGCATCTATATGTAATCAAGATATTCCACACATTATTGACATAAAATTATCCATCAGCATTGATGATTATTAACTGTTGTGCATGCATGGGATAGTTATGATTAAATGACTAATATTAAGATAAGGTTTGTGGTTTGACACTGTGAAAAGTTGACATTTTTTTTTCATCTAAATTAGATCTGGTATACCAGTGACTGAAGTTTAGATTTTGGTATCTGAATTTCCATAAGAAATTATACATGTTATTATTTTCTGTGAATATCAAAGGACCAAAACTAATTAAATCACAAAAAAATGGTTACAGGGATATAGATTCTCACCATTTTAACAAAATGAGAGTATCTTGTTTTGTATTCCTGTGGATAATAATGATAAAGATTATGTGATGTGGAAGTACCTGTATCTCATTTCTTTTTCCTGTGGGATAAAAAGTCATTTAGAATACTACATATATATGAATATAAAACACCAACTAACTTGTACAACAATTTTTGTTGCTATATAAAAGTGCATATAAATGTAACACACTAGTGAATACATATGAATCTTGCATATAGAAATAAGTGTGGTATGAGTGCCAATGAGACAACTCTCCATCCAAGTCACAATGTGTAAAAAGTAAACAATTATAGGTCAAAGTACAGCCTTCAACACGGAGCCTTGGCTCACACTGAACAGCAAGCTATAAAGGGCCCAAAATGACTAGTGTAAAACCATTCAAACAGGAAAACCAACGGTCTAATCTATAAAAAACGAGGAAACGAGAAACACTTATGAAGCACATCAACAAATGACAAACACTGAACAACAGGCTCCTGACGTAGGACAGGTGCATACAAATGCAGCGGGGTTTAAACTTTTTAACAGATGCCAACCTTTACCCTAACCTGAAACAGTAGTGTAACATTACAACATAAAAAGACACACTATAAAATATCAATGGAAATGGCTAACCTCGATCAAAAAGACATATAAACAAAAAAAAGTAAACATACACTGAACCTAATAAATTTGATCTATGACACAATATAAATACAATATTAATAAAAAAAGATGTAAAACAATGTCAAAAAGATAACTCTAACCTGGGACAAAATGGTGTTAAATGAAATAAAGTACACAGGTAAATTTAAATATAATAATTTTGATGTTTAGGAGTACGGAAATATTTTTTACAAAATACATACATTTGTTGTTCACAGTAAGAGTACAGAAGTGAAAATTTATCGTCATACTAAATACTTATCAAAGGTGGTACATTTTAAAAATAATGAGACGAGATATAACACAAAATAAGTAAACATTGAATAACAAAAATGCATTTCAAATTGTGTCAACAGGTCAAATTAATGTTTTATTTTCCAGAGAAAGCAACCAGTCAGTTACTTTTAGAACCAGACTGGGATTCTACTATGCAGATATGTGATATCATCAGACAAGGAGACGTGCAGTAAGTACATTGATAATGATCACTGAAAGCCTCATTAAAATAGAAAAAAAAACTGATGAAATAAGTAAAAACAGTGTCAGGTATTCTGAAAATTCAAGATGCATGTAAAGACATATTTGTTTAACACATGGGCTAGACAAGTTTGACCCAGGCATAGTTTTCAGGTTTCTCAGAAAGACAAATCCAAGATTCCTTGACTCATGGAAGTCAGAACACTATTTAACTCTCAAGTTTCTGATAGAAAAACTCTGGTAAACCAAAATTGATGAGTCCCTTGACTTGCCTCAATTTCTCAAAACAATTTTTAAGAACCTTGATTCTTCTATACCTGTAGACTAACAAATAAATCAGCTCATCGGGAGACTTTTATTAACATGCCACTGTTCAAATGGGTATTACAAAAAAAGAAAGTTTGAATATTTATTTTTGTCTCTTTCAAAACAAAATGTTAATCTACATGTAAACCTCAGGTAATTGATCTCCATGCTTTTTATTCAAAATTTGAGGCCTCTGTTAAATTTATAAGACTTTCATGTTCACTTGATGTATGAAATAATTACAAGGTGTGCATGCATATATATCTGGCAGAGTTTATCTAACCTTGACCTTATTTGTATGACCAGTTCATTGGACAAAGATTAGTTTTCTTAGGTTAGGTTAGGTCAATTTCTGAGATACTATAAGATATATGGTAACTATATTTGTTGTATATGATATGCTTGTAAGGCATACATTTCCATCTGACAGAATTCATCTGACCTTTACCTTATTTAGATAGATCATTGATAAAGATATTTTTTGTCTCGCCTGCGAGACATACAGGAATACTAGGTGGCGGCGGCAGCACAAGCTATTTGTATAAAGCTTTATATTTCAGAAAGTAGAAGACCTTGTGTGCAGATACCTTATGTTACAAAGTTTCGTCTGTAATGTGTTCATTGTCCTTGAAATAATTTTCATGGTTCAGTGACTATTGGAAAAAAATTATAGTTTTTTTGTCATGTGAATTTCTCACTTATTATGAGTAATAGGATAACTATATTTGGTGTATGGATTCCTTGCAACTTATACATGTCTGTCAGACTGAGTTTATCTGACCTGAACCACATTTCATGGATCAGTGATCAAGGTTTAAGTTACATGATTAGATCTGTTTCTCAGATACTATAAGCAGTAGGTCAACTTTATTTGGTGTATGGAATGATTGCAGGGTGAACATATCAGTCTGGTAGGTATAATCTGACCTTGACCTAATTTACATGGCTCATTTGTCAATGTTAAGTGTTTGTGTTTTGGTCTGTTTTTCAATCACCATTAGCAATATGTCACCTATATTTGATATATTGAATAATTGTAAGGTGTATATGTCTGTCTGACAGGATTTATCTGACCTTAACTTCATTGCCATGAAGCAAAGCAAGCGAGTGCACTCTTGTTTGGTAAAACTTGATGTATAACTGTTTCCTCAAACACTTTCATTGATAACTTTAATCATTAATATCAATAGAAGGTGAGACATTTCAGTGTGTTCATTCTTGTTAATTTTTATTAGTTAAATAAAAGAAAGGAAAGACAATAGAGTGTACAGTAAAATCAGTTAAGATATCGCCCTTTACACTTTGATATCGGTTTTACAACAAACAAAAAAAGGATAAGTGAAGCAATCCTAAATAATAGAATATCTGCGAGTGGAAACATACATGTATATGTACTTTCAGAATAAATCTGTATATTTGAGATAAATATTAGTAAAAGCAATGACCAATTTAATATTTCTAACCTTCAGCCTGTTGTAAAAGTTTTTTTTTAATAATGACAATAGATATAATTTAATTGTTATTAGATATAATATATATTCTAAATAACATATTCTTTCATTACAGGCCTAAATATGCTGTTGCTGCTATGAAGAGAAAGATTTCTGCAGAGAATCCTCATGTTGAAATATATGCCTTGCAGGTAAATGTATATTTTTAACAGGGTCTTTTAATTTGTTGGTTTACAAATTATTTATAAGAAAAAGTCGGGTCTGTCAATCAGGGAAAATAAACAATATTTTTGGTGTGTCATTTTGTCAACATTTCTTAAAATTTAGTTCCAAATATTATTGCTAAGCTGTTATAAACATACTATGCATGCCATAGTCATATAATTTTGTAAAAAAGAGGGTATGTCCACAGAAAAACAGGAAAATAAATGGTCATTTTACAAACGAGAAAAAACAGCTACATATCACTTTTTATTAACTTCCATGAATTGTGAGTTTCAAGCACTCAAAAACAAGTGAAATGAAATTTGCAAACACTTCTCACAAAAATAAAACGTTACTATATGTGTCAAATAATGAAAAAAACTTGTCCACTGGAAAGACAAGGATATCTGTTTCATCCTTTATCAGGAAATGCTGTTTTTGATATCCAAATGGACAGACAATTTTTTTTCAATCTATGAAACAAGAAAATTCAAAATTGTTTGTGGATATCTCTTACTTTTAACTTGATGTCTTTCACATTTGGACAGGTTCATTTCATCTATGAGATGAAAAATCATACAGAATTAAGTCAAATAAGGAAAACGAACTTATTGTAATGGGTTTTAAATATAAGTTTAGTTTGATTTTATTTTTTTAGAACGCAATGTGTAATTATTTCTGTTAATGTTTAACATGATGAAATAATGCATAAAATGCTGCTAAGCAGATATTTTTATTTAAATTTCAGAGATAATGTATTTGTTAGGGTCGGCAGGAAAAAAAAAGCAAGAAATGTCAAATTTTTTTTTCCTTTCTGAAAATCGGAAAAACAGGGTCTGTGGATCTATAATCCAACAAAATAAAAAAACCTCGCCTAAGGCTAGTTTTGTTGAGAAAAAAATGGTACAGATTTCTTTTATGACATAAAGTCCTAAAGGCTTCTGTAATTTAAAAAAAAATAATTAATTGAAAAAAAAATACTTCACTTAATGTACAGTTTTTACTACAATAAAAGCCTGAATATTTCTTTTCAAACTTTTGCTTCATGTTTCTGAAAAGGTTGCCCTTTAGTTCCCATTGTAGATACATTTTGTTAATGGACTTGAGAAATCTTTGTGAAAATAAGTCCTGTGTAAACAAAACTAAAATTAATATGTTTAAAAATGTATTTATTAGCATACCATTTGATAAATAAAATATGATTGTTTGAGTTTAATGCCAATTGACATTATTTGATATCTAAATGGGTACCTTGCATGCAATCTCACTAAATGAAATGTATTTACTAGAGACTCAAAGGAAAATTTCGAAATATGGGAGCAAATTTCCAAAATTTATTTTTTCAGATTTTTTATATTGATAAAAAAGGAGATATGGTGTAAATATCTATGTAAACCTAAAAGTTATCAAAACACAGCTCGAGGTCAACAATTATTTAGATACCAAAAATTTGTCCCAGTATGGAGAGTATATTTTAGCATTTTTTAGTGTAAGAAATTCCACTGCAATAACTGTGTATACCTGTTGTACATAAGCTACTTAGTTTCACACATTTTCAAAGCTGTACATTTTTTCATATTTAAATCATCTGTTAGTCTGTTACTACATTATGTTGATATATAAATAGGTACTTGAATCCTGTGTAAAGAATTGTGGATCATTGATTCATGAAGAGATTGCAACTAAAGAATTCATGGAGTTTTTAAAGGACTTGCTAAAGGTATGACACATTCTGTATATGTATTATATAATGAACTGATTTAGTTTCCTGCTAAATAATATTGGTTCATCGTAGTTTACTACAATGGTCATAAGCAGTGATCTTCCCAGGCTATTTTAGCGCCGTGGCACCACAATGCTATAATTATTTTGAAGATGCTATTTTTTTCTTGCTTTTATACATTACAGCAAAATTGATCAGTGTCCTAATTTTCGAACTTTCATCTAATTACTGCTATCATGATCATAAAAATTATATCAACTTTAACTGTAATCCCTTCAAGTCGGACCATAGAGGCTATTAAGAGTGATTAAATAGGTGTTAATTGCCCTTTGAATGATAACTGTTATACAAGAATGACAAGGGAACTTATAGTTTACAATTCCATGTTTACTAGCTGTCTACATGTTATTTAAAAGTTTGGAAATTTTGTTTAAAACATTTTGCCAGTTTAATTCAAACTTTACCTGAATTTTCCTTCTCATGTTTGGGTTCAAAAATATTTTATATAATCCCAACGCCCAAAGTGATTGTTGGCTTCTAATGCTGCATTTACCATACAGCATTAACAATGACATCTGTTAGTGTTTCTATGAATGAATAGAAGTAGTAGTGTTTCTATGAATGAATAGTAGTAAAAGATGCAATAACTATATATTTTTTCCAAACTTCTTTCAGAATTAAATTTAACAGTTTCATTGATCATGTTGATTGTGCAAACTTATCAATTAAAATAATAAAATTGAGAATGGAAATTGGGAATGTGTCAAAGAGACAACAACCCGACCATAGAGCAGACAACAGCCGAAGGCCACCAATGGGTCTTCAATGCAGCGAGAAACTCCCGCACCCGGAGGCGTCCTTCAGCTGGCCCCTAAACAAATATGTATACTAGTTCAGTGATTATGGACGTCATACTAAACTCCAAATTATACACAAGAAACTAAAATTAAAAATGATACAAGACTAACAAAGGCCAGAGGCTCCTGACTTGGGACAGGCGCATAAATGCGGCGGGGTTAAACATGTTTTTTGAGATCTCAACCCTCCCCCTATACCTCTAGCCAATGTAGAAAAAACAAACGTACAACAGTACGCACAGTAAAACTCAGTTTAAGAGAAGTCCGAGTCCGATGTCAGAATAGGAAACAAAAGAAAATAAATAAAATGACAATAATACATAAATAACAACAGACTACTAGCAGTTACTGACATGCCAGCTCCAGACCTCAATTAAACTGATTGAAAGATTATGTCTTCATCATATGAATATCAGGCACAATCCCTCCTGTTAGGGGTTTAGTATTATACCGTCATAAAATATATGAGAAGAACATAACCCGTGTCATGCCAACAACTGGTTTTAGAATAAATATATGTATTAAAAAAAATATGGTTGATACTTGTAACTTCAAATTCAAATGAAACTTAAAAACAGATTTGTACTTAATATCTTCTGTATTGTTTACAGTGGTATAAAACTGGTATAAATATGTTATAAATATACTAGAGTTTTTATACGACCGCAAAAAAATTTTGTGGTCGTATATTGGTATGACGTTGGCGTCGTCGTCGTCGTCGTCGTCGTCGTCGTCGTCCGGCATCGTCGTCCGAATACATATTGGTTTTCGCACTCTAGCTTTAGTTTAAGTGAATGGATCTTTTTGAAATTTGACCATAAGGTTAAATACCACAAAAAGAAGGTTGGGATTGATTTTGGGGGTTATGGTACCAACAGTTAAGGAATTAGGGGCCAAAAAGGGGCCAAAAATGAGCATTTTCTAGTTTCCAGACAATAACTGTGGAACGGTGTATGGATCTCTCTGAAATTATACTACAAGTTTCCATACCACAAAGGGATGGTTAGGATTTGCTTTGGGGGGTTATGGCTCAAACCGTTTAGGAATTAGGGGCAAAAAAGGGGGAAAAACAAGGTTGTCCTGGTTAATGGACAAATACTTTAGTACAAAACATAATTTAAAGCAGTGTAAGGGAGATAAATCAAATACATCATTGAAATTATCTCCCTTACACTGCTTTTAAATTATGTATAAAGTAATGGTTAATGAACAATAAAGATAATCTAAAACAGTGTAAGGGAGGTAATCCAAATACAACATTTTGGTTACTTCCCTTACACTGCTTTTAAATTATGTTTAAAGAAATGCATATTTATAAAGGAAGACCAGTAAAAATATCTGCAAATGTTTTCATCTTTTTTTTTTACAAAAAAATCCATATGAAAGATTTGACACTATATTTTTATTAATTCTATTATAAAATAGATTAAGTTAGCACTATGGTAAATTTAAATGGGTAATTATGGTTGCCAACTCCATTGGAAATTTGAATTGAAATTATGACCATATCTTGAGGGAAAGAATTTTTTTGGGGGAAAAAGGGGGGGGGGGATAAAAAGAAATTGTGGGGGGCCAATTTTTTCTCATTTCAGATTTCAGAAATTAAAAAGAATTATTCTTCAAATATTATTTTTTTTCAAATTTCAAATATTGAAAAATTTCAAGAAGTAATCTTTAATTGCACAGTATGGCGCATTAGATTTGTAAAATCTTTGATCACATTTATTTATTTGTTATGCCGAATCTAACAGTGTATTTAGATTTTTAATTTTGGGTCCAGTTTTCAAATTGGTCTACATTAATGTCCAAAGGGTCCAAAATTAAACTTTGTTTGATTTTAGCAAAAATTGAATATATGAGGTTCTTTGATATGCTGAATCTAAACATGTATTTAGATTTTTGATTTTTGGCCCAGTTTTCAAGTTGGTCCAAATTGGGGTCCAAAATTAAACTTTGTTTGATTTCAACAAAAATTGAATATATGGGGTTCTTTGATATGCTGAATCTAACCATGTATTTAGATTTTTTATTTGTGGACCCCGTTATCTAATTGGTTCATATTGAGGTCAAAAGGGTCCAAAATTAAACTTTGTTTGATTTCATCTAAAATTGAATTATTGGGGTTCTTTGATATTCCAAATCTAACCGTGTATTTAGGTTTTTAATTTTGGGTCCTGTTTTTTAAATTGGTCTACATTGAGGTCCAAAGGGTCCAAAATTAAACTTAGTTTGATTTTGACAAAAAATGAATTCTTGGGGTTCTTTGATTTGCTGAATCTAAACATGTGTTTAGATTTTTGATTATGGGCCCAGTTTTCAAGTTGGTCCAAGATAGGGTCCAGTATTTAAACTTTGTTTGATTTCAACAAAAATTGAATATATGGGGTTCTTTGATATGCTGAATCTAAACATGTATTTAGATTTTTGATTATGGGCCCAGTTTTCAAGTTGGTCCAAATTGGGGTCCAAAATTAAACTTTGTTTGATTTCAACAAAAATTGAATATATGAGGTTCTTTGATATGCTGAATCTAACCATGTATTTAGATTTTTTATTTGTAGGCCCCGCTATCAAATTGGTTCATATTGAGGTCAAAAGGGTCCAAAATTAAACTTTGTTTGATTTCATCGAACATTTAATTATTGGGGTTCTTTGATATGCCAAATCTAACCGTGTTTTTAGATTTTTAATTTGGGTCCCGTTTTTTAAATTGGTCTTCATTGAGGTCCAAAGGGTCCAAAATTAAACTTAGTTTGATTTTAACAAAAATTGAATTCTTGGGGTTCTTTGATATGCTGAATCTAAACATGTGTTTAGATTTTTGATTATGGGCCCAGTTTTCAAGTTGGTCCAAGTTGGGGTCCAAAATTAAACTTTTTTTGATATCAACAAAAATTGAATATATGGGGTTCTTTGATATGCTGAATCTAACCATGTATTTAGATTTTTTATTTGTGGGCCCCGCTATCAAATTGGTTCATATTGAGGTCAAAAGGGTCCAAAATTAAACTTTGTTTGATTTCATCAAAAGTTGAATTATTGGGGTTCTTTGATATTCCAAATCTAACCGTGTATTTAGATTTTTAATTTTAAGTCCCGTTTTTTAAATTGGTCTACATTAAGGTCCAAAGGGTCCAAAATTAAACTTAGTTTGATTTTAGCAAAAATTAAATTCTTGGGGTTCTTTGATATGCTGAATCTAAACATGTGTTTAGATTTTTGATTATGGGCCCAGTTTTCAAGTTTGTCCAAGTTGGGGTCCAAAATTAAACTTTGTTTGATTTTAACAAAAATTGAATATATGGGGTTCTTTGATATGCTGAATCTAACCATGTATTTTGATTTTGGACATTGGACCATAATAGGTAAATTAAAAAAATTCAAGTTCTTAGACCACATTCTTTCTGTGTCAGAAACCTATGCTGTGTCAAATATTTAATAACAATCCAAATTCAGAGCTGTATCAAGCTTGAATGTTGTGTCCATACTTGCCCCAACTGTTCAGGGTTCGACCTCTGCGGTCGTATCAAGCTGCGCCCCAGCGAAGCATTTTATTTTGTTTAAAATTGTTGCCATTCAGGTTAGTTGTGTTTGCTATATATATTTTTCTCTACTATATGTAGTATAGTTTTGTTTTTGGTGAAATCAGTAAATTTATTTGTGAATTTTTTGTTTAGATAAGACCAGATACTGTGAAGAATAAAATTTTAGAATTGATCCAAGTTTGGTCACAAGCATTTCGTAATGAACCAAGTTATAAAGTGGTACAGGATACTTACAACTTAATGAAGTTGGAAGGTATGTTTGAAGTACATGTACTTACGATTTTTTTTATAATTTACTGATTTTGATATGAGATAGCAATGTGTTTTTTTGCAGTCCATCATTTTTAACAGTGACCTTAATCTATCATGTATTATATCATTGCTTTATTATTTATCACTACAAAGTTCTATAAGTGATATAGTAACTACATGTTGCTTCTGTGGAAACATGTATATACTTCTACTGATTGAAACACATCATACAGACACCATACAGTTTATGCTTGAGCAAGCATCACCAAACTTGTATAAAAATCCTCATGAAAAGATGATAATCTCCATTGATTTTCAAGGTCAAAAATTTAGGGTTCCAGTCAAAACCTTTTCAATGCAGTACTCTCTAAACATTCTGACTAAACTTATCAATCTATTCTTACCAGAAAAAAAACAGTAATTTTGACTATATGGTGTTTTGAAAGATGCCCTTTTGGAAAAGTGGCACCCTGACTTTTATTTTTATTTGGTAAACATTTGAAATGGTAAGCTTCTTAAATCATAACATCTTAAAATTAGAGATTAGGAGTACACTGAATTACAGATCGTGGTTAAAAGAAGTAGTTACAAAACAATCTAAATTATAAGCAAAGTTCCAGGAATTATGTAATATAGTTGAAACCCAAAAAAGTTATGATGTTAATTAAGTTTTTTTTCATGACAGGTCACACCTTTCCAACACTAAAAGAAGCTGATGCTATGTTTATGGCTGAGAAAGCCCCTGAGTGGAAGGAAGGAGACTGTTGTAATAGATGTCGTACAAAGTTTGGTATGGTAAACAGACAGGTATGTTTTCAAATCCGACATTGATGTGTCTTGTTACTTTGCCATACCTTTTTCAGTGAAATTCTATTGATGTGATTAGAATTTGAAATGTAGACTGACAATATCACAAGAAACAGTATAATAAATGTAAGTCTAGTGATTGGCTGTAAATATATATGTACTTTTATTTCTTTATATATTTCATATAAAGTAGCTGCAGTTTATGAATTTACCCTTGACTGTCCATGCATTTGTTCATTTTGTTTTCTATGTCTATGTAAAATATATTGTCAAAAAAACAATTGCTTGGACTGAACATTAGGGATTTGAATCAAGCACATTAGAAAGAAAACATACTGAATGGTTGACTAAGCTAAATTTCCATGAAAAACTTTTTAACAACTATTCAGTGATAATGATCTTTTCTGAATACTGTCATTCATTTTCCTATAATGAATACAGGGATTACTATTATAACTACTACATAAACCAGTCATGACGGAGATATTTATTAGAGTATTTAATGAGACATATAAGTCAATCGTTCAACGTGTTGAGTCAGTGTGATATGAAATTTGAAATCATGTACATTTATATTTCAGCATCATTGTAGAAATTGTGGGGAAGTTTTTTGTGGAAAATGTTCAGCAAAATCCTCCATTATTCCTAAGTTTGGAATTGAGAAGGAAGTCAGAGTTTGTGATTCATGCTTTGACATCTTGAATAAGTAAGTAGTCTTTGTCAATTCAGAGGATGTACTAGTCTCCAAAAAATGTTTGCCAGAAAAATTGTCAGCATCAAATTTTTGTCACCAGTTCCAAAACATTTGCCAGCATCAAAGATTTGTCACCAGTTCAAAATCATTTGCACTAGGACCCCCTTCTTTTCAGAAATACATTACATTTGTTATATCTTTATTTGAAGTCAGTTCATGCATCAAAATTGAATAAAGGTTTCATAGCTCATCATGATGATCATGAGCTTTCCCAACTTTCATAGCAAGCATTATAAAACTATGAAAATTGCTTATACCGAAACAAGAAATGTCACCTTTTGCCTGAGTAAACTACAAAACTATTTATTGTATTTTAAAAGTAATTGAACTTTATGTAGATATATATTCTAATGATTGGTTAATTATTTATGAAAGATCAGATTATAAAACTATCATTTGCTGTGAGTTAACATTAATTATTTTCAGTTTACCCAAGAGGGCCATACAGATAATTGAAATGAGTCTGATGGCAAACAGGTGCTTGTTTTAGTCAATTGACAATTTGTTTATACATCAATTTTATAACCTATTGCTGACAGCTATTTTTTTTTAAAGAAATTGAAACCATTAATTTATTTAATTGCTTATTCTGCATATGTTAAGATGGCTTTCTTCATTGTTTCAAAAGTAGTATAATAGTGTTTTTTATCTGTGCAAAAATGTCACCAGACATAAAAATGTGTTGCCATTGGTGACATTAGAGAAGCCTAGCAAGACCCCTGCAATATTTGTCATTCTTGGAAGCTTGAGTGACAAATAGAGCAATGACTTTAAAACTAAAAATTGTAGTGATATTTGCATATTGTGATACCTGTAATATATATTACTTATATTATCATAGCAAAGATTTTAGATATAAGATATATTTCTGTGCTTCAATCACATGAATAACAAGCAAACGAAGTATGATATGAAAGCATTCTGTATATTTATTTCATGAAAAATATCTTCATTACAATTGTGTTTTAAAGAAATATTTTATGAATTTGAATGTAACTTGGTTTTTATCTTGCTATTTATAGAGCAGCTGCAGCAACATCTACAAAGAAAAGTGATGATGAATTACCAGCTGAATACTTGGCTAGTCCATTGTCTAAACAACAACAGGTATATCTTTTACTCTTATTGACATTTAAATGGTATGAAAACCCACATGCTTAAAATTTATGCTCAATATTCATTGATGCCAGCCCATATCATTTTTTAGCTTGATTAGCTTTATGAAGGTTGAATTATTCTTAAAAACAAAAAAAGTTTTTCTGTATTATCAAAGGGATCTTTTTTGATTTTTTTTCAATTTATAAGACATATATCTGTAAGAAGAAATAAAAAGTAAAAGGTTCCCCAGAACCCAAAATCTTGTCTGGTGCATGGCTTCCATAACAGTTGTGTTTTTCCTGACTGTAGCCACCAATTATCGTACCGGTCCGTCTGTGAGGTGGCGGATGTGGACTTTGTCACAGGCTCAATAATAATATTGATGAACACCTTGATGTGGATTGGTATTGATATATTAACGAATTAATTGTTTACAGGTGGCACCTCAGAAGACAGAACAGGAAATACAAGAAGAAGAAGAATTACAGTTAGCTCTGGCTTTATCTCAGAGTGAGGCTGAGACTAAACAGAAGGAGGTAATTATATATATCTTTTGTATGTTGAAAACATTTAGAATTTGTGGTATAAACTATTTGTATAAAGCTTTATATTTCAGAGGATAGAAGACCTGGATGAATCAATCCTTGTATATAGATGCCTTATGTTAGGAAGTTACTGTCTGTCCTTTATCCTTGGCCTCATTTTCATGGTTCAGAAACTATTTAAACAAAAGTATAGTTTTTGTCGAGCCTGCGACTTTTGTCGCAGAACAGAAAGCTCGACATAGGGATAGTGATCCGGCGGCGGCGGCGTTAGCTAACTTCTTAAAAGCTTTATATTTTAGAAGGTAGAAGACCTGAATGCTTCATACTTTGTATATGGATGCCTCATGTTACGAAGTTTTCGTCAGTCACATGTCCAATGTCCTTGACCTCATTTTCATGGTTCAGTGACTACGTGAAAAAAAATTAACATTTTTTGTAATGTTAAATTCTCTCTTATTATAAGTAGTAGGATAACTATATTTGGTATGTGCGTACTTTGACCTCATTTTCATGGTTCAGTGGTTATAGTTAAGTTTTTGTGTTTTGGTCTGTTTTTCTTATACTGTATGCAATAGGTCTACTATATTTGGTGTATGGAATGATTGTAAGGTGTACATGTCTAGCTGGCAGGTGTCATCTGACCTTGACCTCGTTTTCATGGTTCAGTGGTCAAAGTTAAGTTTTTGAGTTTCTGTCTTTTTTTCTAATACTATATGCAATAGGTCAACTATATTTGGTGTATGGAAATATTTTATGATCTATATGTCAGTCGCGCAGGTTTTATATGACCTTGACCTCATTTTCACGGTTCATTGCTCAGTGTAAAGTATTTGTGTTTTGGTCTGTTTTTCTTAAACTATAAGCAATAGGTCAACTATATTTGTTATATGGAAGAATTGTTAACTGTACATGTCTGTCTGGCATGGTTCATCTGACCTTGACCTCATTTTCATGGTTCATTGGTCAATGTTTAGTTTTCTTGGTTAATGTTAAGTTTATGTGACAGTTGTAATAAAGCTTTATATTTAGGACTATCAACATAATATCAATGATCAGTAAAGAAGGCGAGACATTTCAGTGTGTGCACTCTTGTTATTATATGTGAATTTCTTGCTTATTACGAGTAATAAGATAACTATATTTGGTGTATTGATTCCTTGGAAGGTCTACATATCTGTTAGACAGGGTTCCCCTGACCTTGCCCTCTTTGTATGGGTCGGTTAACAAGGTTAAGTTTTATCTCAGATACTTTTGGCAGGAGGTCAACTTTATTTGGTGTATAGATTGATTGTAAGGTGTACATGTCTTCTAGCATGGTTCATCTGACCTTGACCTTATTTCATGGTTCATAGGTTTGCAGTTCCAAATTTTGCAAAAAAGGACGCCTCCGGGTGCGGGAATTTCTCGCTGCATTGAAGACCTGTTGGTGGCCTTCTGCTGTTGTCTGTTCTGTGGTCGGGTTGTTGTCTCTTTGACACATTCCCCATTTCCATTCTCAATTTTATGTGCATATTAATAAGTATATTTATTGTTATGATTTTGATTTTTAGACATTTCTTCACAATAAAATGGATTGTTAAATGAATATAGTATATTTTGAAAATAATGAATGCTTTGCATTGTTCTCTGACACTGGCTAGAAGCATTTATTTTATAGGGTATTTTTATATATACCCAAAAAAGGCATATTTTTGGGAATTTACATTTTGTTCTATTTTTTAAATATTATGGTTCAACAGTTTTGTGAAATTTTGTAGTTAATGCATAAGGGTTTGTCCATATTGGTGATTTAAATTTTAACGTTATTTTTTTTTAATTCAATTGACCTAAAGAAGTACCATAGATTTCCATATCAGGTTTTTTTTTATTTATACAAGTTTTAATATAATAACCGGTTACTAAATTTATTTTTCATACATATATATTGCTCTTTAAAAAACATATCTGAATTTAGTTATATGCAGTCTTACAATCACAGCAAATGTGTGAGTTACAATCCACTGGTAAGTTTTCATCATCTTATGACTTAGTCCTTTGATAAAATTTTCATTTTTGTTTCCACAATATAAAAAAATTTATTTTTACAGCGTGACAGGTTGAGAAGTAATTATGGAATGTATGGTGGGTCCACAACAACAGCAAGCAAAACATCTTCTTACAGTCAACCAGCAGTAAGTATATTGTCATGGATAACAAATCTAAAGATGGAATGAATGCAGATACATAAGAAAAGTAGTAAATTGGAAGATAGTGGCTTTTTGGAGTTTTTGTGGTGATAAGCATGAAAGCATTCTTCAGAGAAAGGGTTAACACTTTTGAAAGCAATAATGGCACATACAATTTACATTTTATATTGATGGATCAACAAAACATCTGTGTATTCTTTGATGATATGACAAGAAATGCTTGTACACAAGAAGTAATAGAGAGAAAACTGACATAAATAGGTTTCTTAATGCACTAGCTACAATTATCACTAGGCTTTTGTTTAGAGTTATGATGTAATCAATTTCAGAAATGATATAACTTGGTTTTTCTTGGTCAGGTTTGAAAGGAGATTATCTTCTTAGCCATTAAATGGCCACATTTTTGGGGTTTAAGATTGAATTCATGCAGTAAAATAGAATAAATGCATTGTGCACAACATACTAAACATCCTACCCATGAAATGTTTTAATGAAATTTATACTCGGATATTCAAATTACAAAATAGTGTGTACATGTATAACCATACTTGTCAAGAAAATTACATAAATTGTGCATTGTGCTTGATGCTAGTATCTAAATATATCAATGATGATATTGGTAAAGTAATATTTGAAATTGGAGTTGTCATTCTTTGTCCATATTGTTGTTGAACCAACTACAAATATGGACAAAGTTAGATGTATTGCCTTCCAATGTTTAATACAATAATACAAGAAGCTATTATAGTAATATTTTATTCAATATTGTAACATACAATTTATTTCCATGTAGGATTTAGTATTTTTTTGTGGAGCAGTGAGATATTAAAATAAAGAGACAGGATTTACAATTAAAAAAAAAATTAGTTCAAATTATTTTTTTCAAGGATATAGTGCATTTGTACCTATCATAAGGCTCTTTTCGAGATGATTAATTTTTTTTTGCAAGTTGAATATTTTAAGATACAACTAAAAATCGATTGCAAACCTCCAACCCACCCTATTCATATAATTATGAATTGACCTTATGAATGTCAGGGCTCACACTACTTCAGAATCATAGGGAGAAGTGACTTCTCTTTTTGAAACTGATAGGGAGAAGTGGTGAGATTTGAAAGAGACGTGCTAGTTCGCACGCGGCGCTACAATGTTTTATAAAGGGCCATATGTATCTTATTTTCTTTTTATATTGTTCAATTCATATAGATCTGAGTATACAATAAAGTAACAGTTCAAATTCAAAGTTGTTAAGGTTTATCACATCTAATTGCACAATTATATTAGTCCTCTTGTCAGAAACTACCTACTAAATATTGAGCACTAAAAAGATTGTTTTTGATATCAAAAAAGAAAAGAAAGTATAATAATATGAATTACAATTCAATTAAAAAACTATTCTGTTTATCATGTTTATGAAATTCAGTGTTTCTCATTAAAAAGATATATAAATTTAACAAAGTTAAGCTGGGACATAATATATTTTTATTAGTGTAATAGTCCGAGAGTGAAGCAACTTTAATCAATAAATTGAAACAATGCATATACACGGAAATATATACATTAATCAAGCAGATCTAACCAAAAGTCTGTAAATGCGTGTGGAATGCGTAATCTTCTGTCCGTTGTGCCAATTGTGCGTCCGTAGTTATTATCGTAAGAATATGGATTTCAGTCATAGCTGGTCCGTTTCCGATGAATCCCGCCTCCAATCCGTAGTTCGTACAAATATTTCAATGGCGGACGAAGAATATTTACAAAACATGTTTGACAAGCTATTTGGAAAGGAATATGACGTTTTTAATGCAATAAATGGATTACACATTTATTGAAGGCAACTTTCATCACGTTCTAATGAAGTAACAAACTTATTTTGCCGAAAATTGGAAAGATTTGATGTACGCTCTCGAGTAACAAGTACCGGAAGTGATAAAAAATTGTCTTAATGAAATAACACACAACAAACTGTAAATTCAATGCTTTAACTTCTTTTCTGAAGAAAATAAATCGCTTATGTCTTTTAATTTCTTTACTTATAAATGAAAAATTGATGTTTCATCGACTTGGTAAAAATTGAAAATTGCCGATGACGAAAGCGACTGAAAGTGAGTATGGTGAACAACAGGGCAACTAGATTTCGCTTTTGACAGTCGGTCAAAGCGAAGTGACGGATGCGAAAGCGACTTTATCGCCTGCTAGCGTGAGCCCTGGAATGTGCAAGGCTTACAAAGTTCTATTGGATGAGAAATGTCTTCTTAACAAAAAATGGAATCATAGTAGTTCAACATATTTGACAAATTCATCTAGAAAAAGAGATTATGCTGTTATTTTAGTGAAATATGCCAGGACCGTGATAAATATTTGGAAAGAGCATGACTGATGGATGTGTTTTAGTGTTAAATGATTTGGAAAGCGCATGCTGAAGTTAAAAAAAGCCTTACTTGATCGTACATATGAGATGGATGTAGTAGCATGTGAATTTAAAAGATTAGAAACTTAAGAAACACAATGAAAGAGATGACAGGGGCTGCTCTGGCGCCTAAAAAGTTGGGAGCCAGAAAAATCACCAGCTGCTATATTTTGTACCCAGTTTAAAAAATGTGATTAAGAGTGATTTAAGCAGAGCTGTAATTCAAAACATATGATAAGAGCTGGAAAAAAGAGGCTAAAGACATCAAAGGAACAATCAAAGAGAAACTGACAAAATGAATCAACAACAAAAAGACAAACAATAGTCTCCTAACACTACATAGATAACTACAGAGTGAGCAGCACTAAACACTACAAGAATAAGGGGTGATTTCAAGTGCTCACAAAGGGTTTGCAAATCCTGCTCCACATGTGGCACTCGTACTGTGGCTATACGGTATGGGTTTTTCTCATTGTCGAAGGTGGTATAGTAGCCTGTTATTGCTTACATCCACTTCATTTGACCTCTGGTGGATAGTTGTCTCATTGGCAATCATACCACATCTCCTTATTTTTATATTTTATATTTTATAAAGTATAAGTTCGGTATATAAAAAATATTCTGTGATGACACAAATTATAGAAAAAACTATGTAAACAAATGTGGTCAGCTGAGAGTCTCAATACAGGGTTTTCCACAGAATAAATCATAGAAATGACAGAAACAAGTATTATTTGAAAGAAAAAAATTATTTTAGCAATTGTAATTTGCAGCAGATTGGTTTATATTTTGTATGCCCCTCCTAGAGTAGTAAAGGGGCATTATGTTTTCAGGTCTGTTTGTCGATCTGCCCCATAGTTAAAGTCTTGGTTTAGAGTAGTTTGTGGTCACATCAACTTGAAACTTAGTACACATATGCATTATGAAGTGAACTATTTAATATACACATGATATACCATATATGCCATATTAGGGTTTTAACCCAGATTTTAAGGTTCATTGAACAGGGAAATATGATAGGGCGAGCAAGGCATTATGTTTGTTCCTATGGACACATATTCTTGTTTTTATCTTACATTATTTCCAGTTTCCAGTGTTCATGGTATACATTTTCTGCATATAAAATTGCAAATTGAAAATTTTCATTTGATAGAGATATCCTGACATTAACTTTAACATCTCTTATGATATATATTTCATTTGGAAAGTTTGGTTCTGTTACTCAAATATGGCCAATTAAAAAAAATTGCAAAAGGTGTAAAAAATGAAACATGCTTACATGTAAGAAATTTAGGGTACTTTGCAAAACATAGTGTCTTGGTAGTGTCATTTGGACTAGATCATTCCATAAATTAAGAATCTCTGCTAAATTATATATCAGTAAGCCTCTTCCAATGCAAATTTATCATCATAATAGCTTCTTTGAACTTTTGTTGAAATATAGGATTAATCAAACGTGCCCTTACCCTCTACAACTTTAAGGACATTTCCAGAGGAAAAACAGTTATGGGGAATCTTTTAACAAATAAACAAGTAAATTTATTTTAATGATACTTTGATAATAATACACCAGAAATAGCTGTTAGATAGTAGACTTCCATTTTGCTTATTGCCGTTATTGGTAATGACAACTTTGAAGCAAATCTGAGCCAAACTTAGTAGGGATTATATATGGAATGTCTGTTAAACTCCTTAATTTATTTGGATAACATAAATAAAATAGCAGCAAGAAATAAAGTTTGATTTTAAGTGCCACTTGTCAAATTTCTTCTCAAGAAAATCTTATAAGATTGATTGTTTCTCAAGAAAATCTTATAAGATTGATTGTTAGGTCATCAACTAAGATTCCTTATTTTTTTCTTATATTGTGACATATTTGAAAGATATTGTGGCATTCAGATTCGTATTGCAAGATAAAATTTTCATCAGGTACTTTCAAACAACTAGATTAGCCAAACTGACTTTAGCCGGAATGATTTATAGAAGACCCATTATTCTGTTAGCCCTTATCAGAATTGGGTATGTGAAATCATTAAATGTTGTACAGTTTGTGTATGATTTCATATGTCTGCTAAGTGCCATTACACTCTACTCTTACAGTATTCTTTTCAACTTTTCAAAAAAGATTTAACTGATATGTAAGAATTACATTTTGTAAACAACACATTTTAGCTAGCTAATTAATTCATATTGTTTGATAATATTATGGTAACTATGAAAATATATCTTTGCTTTATACATCAAAGAGGTATCTTTCAGGATGTCATAATGAAGGGAGTGCACTTCACTGTTTTATAATTGTTCAGTTGTTCAGTTATTATCAATTCATGATAATATCAAATTGAACAAATCATTTTTTTAAATAAGCAGAAATTTATTGCTTTCACTTTATTTCATAACAATTCTTCTATTAAGAAATAATAGAAATTTTTTTTATGGAATGTATTTCTTTCCTCAATAAATTTTAAGGCTGTAATCTTGATAAATGCTTTAAAGAATGCACAATGACCATGAAAATACAATACTGTATATTTGTTTTGTTTTTATACAAACAAACAAGGAAATATTAAGTTATCAGCTACTTCCTTAAATTTGTCCTCTTATCATACAGAAATAAATTTTAAGAAAATATCTTTCAAATTTTTTGATATCAGTCACCTTTAATTTTTTAATTTTTCTTGTTACAGATTTATTCATTGCTTTCATTTTCAAAGTATATATATTAAAATCAAAATGTTACATGGTTATCTCCCTTAGACTGTCCTGCTTTGTTTTGCTTTTTAATGTATCCCTCATACTTCCTGTGTTTTTGTTTGACAACAAAAAGATTATCTGACATATGTGAGTTAATAAACTATGTTTAACCATTTGTTAAGGTGTTTTCCTCAGTCTAATAAAGTTGTTATTGTTTTTTAAATCAAAGCACAATGACTTGATTACATAAATTCTAATGAAAATACAAAATTAGCTTCATTAGTCATGCAGTCACATGAATAAAGACTCATTAAAAATATATAACCTATACATTGCTTTCATATGACAACTAATTGTTTAAGAAGTGAATGACTTAAGCATAAGAGTAATACATATAAATATGTAAAGTCAGACAGGTGTTACTGATGAGCTCCTGGAGGTTATTGTTTCTTTCACAAGTGGATTTTTCATGTTTGTTTGTACTAATGTGACTTGATTGTCATCATACTTTTTCAGCAATCAGATATACAAATTTTCTGGAAATGTTATGCTCTGTGTGATGAATTAGTTACATTAATTCAGGAAATCTTATGGTCCTTATTTAAAGAAAAATCCAGAAAAAACTTAAAACCGGAAAGAAGTACGTTTATTGCCCTCATGGTGTTGAAGGTTTTCCAGGGCTATATTGCAAAGATCCTTTCTAACATTTATGTTCCTATATTAATGTCATACAAAATTCCGGTTTGGCATTCTGATAGGCCAATATTAGATACATCCATATACACTCCAAAACTATGTCTTTTCGTTATCTGCAATGATAATCCGAACAAACTAATGTTTGACTGCCAGACTTGTCAACCTTCATGATTCAGTGGGGGGTGTCCCCCATGAGAGGTGTTGACCTGAATTCTGAAATTCTTTATTATATAAACTAAACACCTCATAACAGACATTCAAATGAATTAACAAGGTATTTAAGCACATACATGTATATACTCTGAGTCTCATACAAACAATACAGTAGTAGATTAAAAACACTTATGGCAATATAAGAGAAGTATTAGGTCCTCCTGCTCATTAAATCCCCTATGGATATTTTGAAAAGTTGGCAGGTATGGACTGCCAATATATTATTCAGTATTAGTCAATTAAGCATGTTCAATATTTTTGTTTCTTTTTACTTGGGCATGATTTAGTAAATTTTAAATGACTAATTTCAGTAAGTAAAAGTACACTTAAACTAATTTTGAAATTCTCTTCCTAAAGTTGTTTTTGGGTCTTTCTTTTTAATGGCCTGTTTGATTTTGATGATCCTCAATATTTTATATAATAAGATCACTTCTCAATTTCTCAGTCTTGAGCTTACTTGGCAAAGGTTATTCCTTGTCCTGTGCCTGGTATTGGCTTTACATGTTTGTATGGCTCCTGAACATCTACCCCTTCTTTTTCATTAATAATATTCTGGAAATGTCAATTCTTTTGTAGACTGTCTCGGCACCAATGGTAGATACCGAAGAAATGGATCCAGAGCTGGCTCGTTATTTGAACAGAAATTACTGGCAACAGAAATCTGAGATAAAAACGACCAATGTTCCGACCACCACTCCATCAGCTCCTGTAGTTACTACAGAACAGAAAGCAACAGAAGGAGGAAAAGTTGTGATTGAGGTTTGTGTACATGATAATTTTTTTTCTAGTTGAATACATGGACTAGTGAAGTGACAATCTATCATTGGTTTTATGAAATGTGCCCTGTTTTCGATATTTTGTTTCTTATGAGATTTTCTTAACCAATCATCTTTGATAATTGTTGCTGCTAGGGGAGATGAAGAGTCCTGTTGATTTTGGAATCAGTATTCAGAAATTGAGATTGATAACAGCAAATTAGAATTGGGATATATTTTAAACATGTTTCAATTGGATACAGAAATTGTGACCTAAAACATGATTTATAATTATATTTAGGTGTACAAAAATGTACAGTCCACAAGTCACATGTTTTACATAAATATTGATGAAAAATATTCTCTGAAACACACAATATATGTACCTGATTTTGTTGTACTGTTATGCAGTCCACAATCCTTGATAATTTTTTCAAGCAGTTTTAATAAAATCTATTGTTAAAAATCTGTTTGTGCAATCAAAATAATTATTTAATAATCCTGTAAGGTATTTATTTTTTCTTGAGTCAATAAAAATGTACCAAGAGTCAGAAATTCTTTAGCATAAGCTGCCCACATAATATTCCTAGATACATTACTGTTTAATTTTCTGATTATCTAAACAGAATATTGATAATTGTGTCTTATAAAGAAATAAATTTGTTTACTTTGTGGTCACTATTAAAAGGGTGAGAATAAATGAAAATAAAGAAAATACAAAGGTCTTGTCTTTTCCAACATATTTCAGAAAGGACAATAATAGCAAAAAAACATTAAAAAAATATGCCCAAAACATATATTATTATATGTAGTCAGGGCCTAATCTAGGATTTTGAAGAGGGAGAAGTGACTTCTCCTTCCATGAGAGAGAAGGGAGAAGTGGTCAACTTCTTGGAGAAGTGAGATTCCATTACCGTTTCGGTTGCATCGTGTTTTCAAGCTGATCACTAAGGAAATTGTTTTATATTCAATAAAAGATGTACTTGCAGTTTTTTCATATGTTATTGTACACAGTGTATATAAAGAAAGTTCTTAATAAAAAGGTTTAGATAATATACAGTTGTTATTTATTTATTGATACCATAATGTGTTCTAAATAAAATTTGTTGAATTGGACATGAGGGAGTAGCCTAGTAATATTATCAAGATTATGATGCATTAAATTCATGTGCATCTGCCTCAATTTATTTTTAAAACTCCAGAAAAATATGATGAATTTCACATGACTGGGAATTTAATTTATATCACCACTTGTCATTGTTTTGTAAAACATTATTGAATGTCCAGGACATTTATGTTAGTTGTAGTAAATTGAGATTATCGTTAAAGATTGTAAGTCTATAAATGAAAATATCTTTCAATCTCAAGTTAATTATGCGATAAAGAGCTAATTTCTATCATTTTTTAAAAATATCATCCATATCAACGAAGTGGTCATGAGAAAAAACCACTGCTGATGACAATCTGGTCGAGTGTCGTACGTTTGCAATCACATTATCCATATATGTCTTTCTACCTTTTATATTTCAATTTTATTTAATGAATATAATAAATCTACCGTTAATTCCCACCCTTTACCTACCGAATAGTAAAATTGATCGACTCGTGTAGGTAATAAAAATAAAACAAATCAGCTGAGTGATTACGCAACATCCTCAGATGAAAATCATCGTAAAACAATAACTTAAACAGACGGTCAGTTTTCTGTTTGAACAGTTTTGAAAGTTATATCCGAGGATGTTCAAAGTCGCCGTTGTATTTATTTAATTTGATCTTTTACAGTATTAGTCTTGGGTCGTTTCGAAAATCTCGATTTTCCTTGTCAGCTGCCATTTTTTTTACCTGTGAGACTTGTCAATCACAAGTTGTCTCCCTTTTACCGATTTTGATAGCGATTTGACTTCGCTATGAAGTCAGTCGGCCGGCGAGATTTAGCGATTTTCAAAATTCTTTGGCGACTTAAGTCGTCATTTCGCCGGCAAGATTATGGCCTGTATGTAGTGCTTTCTTTTGAATGAAGTGTAAAAAGATTTGTAAAAATAACACCATGTTCAAGAAAATTTTAAAGAGATTGGTATTTGTAAGTAATGCAAGAAAAATTGGGTGACCAAACAGTTTGACTGTCATTTCTTAAACAGAAAGTGGTTCATCTTATGGGAAAAAAAGAAATGTGGAAAGTGAAAAAAAAAATGTGTTTGTTTCATGTTAGTAGAATATGACAAGGCTTTGTTTATTTTCAGGCATATCAAAATGGGGAAAATGAGGATGATGAAGAACAATTCCTAAAAGCATTACAGAGCAGTTTAGAGATTTTTGTAAATCGTATGAGAAGTAATTCCCAGCGAGGGCGTAGTATTGCTACAGACTCTTCTGTTCAGTCACTGTTCAATGTTATCTCTAACATGCATCCTCAGCTGATGAAGTATGTTGGAAAACAAGAGGACCTAAGAGGTAGGGTGACAATATTTATTCATACACTAGCATAATTAAATGTAAACTGGACAGTCAGAGCTTGAGCGTTATATTCTGTGCTAATGTCAGTTTTATTCTTTCTTGATAAAGTCTAAAGAAAATTTTGCCTTGTTAAACTGATTCCATTATGAAAACAAGTCCCTCTGAAAACTATTTTGATCATTCTTTTTGTAACCCTAGGTTATAACCACAATTACTTATTAAACAGTGTGTTGTTATCACTTCTTTTATGACTTGATTCTGACACTTAAGAAAAAGAGAATGATTTTAGCACTAAATACATGTTTATCACAATATCAAGTTATCTCAATGTTTATTGCCTATTTTTCTGTGAAAAGACTTTGGAAAAATGCAATAAATGACACCATGAACACTTAAGTTGTAATTTTAAACGAAAGAAGAAAAAAAGCAAGTTGGTTTTGAAAAATATATAAATTTCAATTATCTCAGTGAATTTGTATTGCAATTTGCCATTGTGACATAAGATAGGTAACACTGACCCATTTGCTACCATATCAAAAAGTATATCCTTTATTTAACTTGATAGGTAACTATGAAGCTCTACAAGACAAACTTGCCCAGTTACGTGATGCTAGAGAAGCTTTAGATGCTCTAAGAGAAGATCACAGAGAAAAGAGACGTAGAGAACTAGAGGAAATGGAAAGACAGAGACAGATTCAGATGGCACATAAACTAGAAATCATGAGACAAAAGAAGCATGTAAGTATCACAGTAATACTGCTAATGAGGACTTAATACTTATTGTCATTAACATTACAAGATTGTTTTGTTCAACAAGAAATAATCATAACACAACCCTGAAGTAGACATGGGCTTTATGAATTAATAGTATAAAAACAATGTTACATAACTGATAGCTAAAATCCACACCAAAATTCTTTTACATTGTACTCAGGAAGTATGTTTACTTTTAAATAATAAATTTAATTTTGTAGTTAGGTAACTGAAATATATCTCAAAAGAATGGACATGATTCTATAGAATGTAAATTACAATTTTGTAGGAATATTTGGAGATGCAAAGACAGTTGGCTTTACAGAGATTACAGGAACAAGAACGAGAAATGCAAATGAGATTAGAACAGCAGAAACACATGACACAAATCAGGCAGATGCAGAATTATGGATATCCACAGGTACATCACATGATTTATATGTTTAACTTTATTGGACATATTGGGCTTGCATAAGAGACCTGTGATTCAACAGATTCCCTCACCTTATGTATTCACAGTATTAAATAAAATTATCTTGAATAGGATGCAAAGAAGATCAATAGGACAAAAAATATCATGATTTCTGACCATGTAATTTAAGAGGATTCTATTTTGCCAAGCATTTGTCAGCATTTGCTCTTACTTAAAATTAAGGATGTTAATTTGTGTGACTCCTCTGATATTTCCCTTAGTATTGCATTTAAATTATTTACCCCATAACCTTGTATTTCTTTTATTTGTGACGAAAGATAAAGCTTAAAAACTTATTTGTCAACTAAGTATTGTGGAATCCTGTTTATTATACACATTTTTATGCCCCACCTACGATAGGTATCTGTCCCGCTTCATGTTCAAGTTTTTGGTCAAGGTAGTTTTTGATGAAGTTGAAGTCCAATCTACTTGAAACTTAGTACACATGTTCCCTATGATATGATCTTTCTAATTTTAATGCCAAATTCGAGTTTTTACCACAATTTCACGGTCCACTGAACATAGAAAATGATAGTGCGAGTGGGGCATTCATGTACTATGGACACATTCTTGTTCTAACAAATTTACCAAATACTTCCCATACATTTGAAAAACACTTGGATATTATTTGGCCCCCAAAAATCAGTTAAAAATTATATACCTGTATATCTCATGAACAAGAACAAAGACTTGCATTAATTTTGCCATTATTCTGATTTTTTTTTAGGTTATCTTACTATTTCACTTATGCATAATTATGAAGTACAATTGATACAGTGGTGTTGTTGATTGTGTAAAAGGTAGACAATAGCTCATGTAGTTGTAACACTGTTAATTGTCAATCTTATGTCTACTACCAATGACACGTAAGAAAACACAGCACTGTTAAAATGCATTAAACAGAATATGTTGAATATGTCCCTTTAAAATTGTTCTTTCTTTTAACTGCAGCCAGGATATGGTCAGATGCCAATGACTGGTGTTCCCCCACAGCAAACATTTAGTCCTGTTGGGTCATCAGATGGATCACCTGTTCATCAGATGCAAAATATGTATGGCCAACAGCCAATGGGACACGGGCAACAACCATTGCAACATGGTACACCACAAATGTACAATCAACCAAGCACTCAGCCTGGATATAGTCAAGCTGGAGGACAGTACCAGCCACAAGTTACTAGTCAGACAGGCCCACAGTTTCAACAGGGACCTTATCAACAACAACCAATGTCTACACAACCCTCAAATCTACCTGGTGCTTACGACAGCCAAGCAGGATACCAGACAGGTGGCCAGTATGGTCAGATGCCACCTGCTACAATGTCACAGGGTATGCCACAACAAGGTGGAATGCCACCTTCAACAGTATCACAAGGAATGCCACAGACTTCTATGGCACAGCCACAAGGAATGCAGCCAGGGATGCCACAAGGTGGAATGCCTACTTCACCCATTCCACCAGGCATGCCACAGCAAGGAATGCCCATGAATCAAGGATATCAAGTACCAACTAGTTCTAATGTAGATTATCAGGCATATAACATGCAAGGTAAGCCTATATACAATATTAAAGATAGAAGAGCAAAACTAAGAAAAAAATAATTTTAATTGAACCTTTAGAATTCTACTGTTAATTACATCTGCAATCTTATCATTCACTTTTAATTCCAACATGAAAAATTTATTATTTAAGAATCAAACTGTCAAATCTGTCCATCTGATTGTTCAATCCAACCCCATTGTCCTGTGTTCAGCTGGGCTCATACTTTTTATAATAATTGTTCATCATACAGAAAAATAACTACACACAAGGCTTTTGGATCTTTTTAGGTAATGTTAAATTAGTCCATTGAAGTTTGAAATTTTCACTGTTTTCAGTTCCTACTTCAATTGATTGGTCAAATGCTTTGTTTTCTATAACATACAAGTCAAGTTTGTCCAAATGGTTTATTTCATCTTAGTGAAACTAGATAAATGTCTGAATGATTTATTACATCTAAGTGAATCTAAATAAATTGTTTGTTCTTCTGAGATCCTGATATAGAAAGGATGTTTTGGAAAATTGAGGTTTTCCAGAGTTATTACCCTTTGAGCATAGAAATTTTGATATCCCATACCTCCTGGTTATGATTAATTGTATGCTGTTGAAACTGGACTACCTAATACATTATCAAAACTTAATATGCACTATGCAGATGTTTTTAATATATCTATTTGATATTATGTTTTTTTCCTAAGTCTGCTTAAAAGCATACAGAAAATGTAAATTTTGTTCAATATTTAAATTTCTGGTTTACCTGTACCCAAGAAATACATGAAAAATTGGTTTCACATGCTTCTGTTTCAGGAATGACAAATGCATTACCTCAGCAACAGTATTCAAATCAGCCACAACAGTACATGGGCAATCAGGCAGGACAGTACCAACAACCCCCACCTCAGGGGCAACAACAGGAACATCCCCAGGGACCACCACCTGGGAGCAATGAAGCTCAGTTAATTTCATTTGATTAATATTAGGAAACTTGCATAGACAGATTATATCATGTATTGTTATCTTTTAATATTCAATATATAAATTTTGAATTCTTTTTACAAAAAAATACTGATTCCTCAAAAATTAATCCTCCTGATTTTAAGCAATATTCAATTAGTTTTACCCTTGGCATAACAAGTAACTCAGTTTGTTTTGAATTAAAAAAAATGTACATATTTTTTAGTACAGTTTGATGACATGAAAGGTTCTTTGTAATAATGGTAAATAATCAGCTGATAGCTGTTATACACACTATCTTATTTGATAGAACTTAGAACACAAATATTGTTAAAAGATGGACTTACACAAGAGCCTTGTGGTATGTTTCTGATGTTTCAGGTCAAGAAGGAAATTTATGATTTTTTTTTCAAGAATTTCAGATAAGAAGGCATTTGAAAGCAAGTTGGTTTGAATAGTTGCAAGCTTCTTGTAGATATAATTCTTGTAAAGTCATGTAGCTTGTACATTTTTGAAAATAAAAAATCATTCAGATATGCATTTTTTCAAATGAATTTGTGTGTATTAAAGCGCAAGATAATTATAATCAGATTTATATCATTAAATTACCGGCAGTCATAGATTCATTGTTTTCAATCTTTGGGCTGATACAAAATTAAATCATTGTGCTCATGAATAAAAATGCTTAAATGTGCTTGTAAAAGGTCAAATATATGTTTCTACTGTGATAGATTATACATGTTTTAATCATTGTGCAATCAATATTTATGTGTAACATTGATTCTGTATTGTTATTAAAGATTCAAATTATAATTGGAGTATTTGTTTTGCCCAAAGAAAGGATATTTATGTCATTGTCAAACAATGAGACTTGTATAATATTTTATCCATATTTTTAGCTCACCTGGCCCAAAGGGCCAAGTGAGCTTTTCTCATCACTTGGCGTCCGTCGTCGTTAGCTTTTTACAAAAATCTTCTCCTCTGAAACCACTGGGCCAAACTTGGCCATAATCATCATTAGGGTATTTAGTTTGAAAAATGTGTCAGATGAACCCGCCAACCAACCAAGATGGCGGCCATGGCTAAAAATAGAACATAGGGGTAAAATGTAGATTTTGGCTTATATCTCTGAAACCAAAGCATTTAGAGTAAATCTGACCTAGGGTAAAACTGATTATCAGGTTAAGATCTATCTGCCCTGAAATTTTCAGACAAATCTGACAACCTGTTGTTGGGTTGCTGTCCCTGAATTGGATATTTTAAGGAAATTTTGCAGTTTTTGGTTATTATCTTGAATAGTATTAATGATAGAGATAAACTGTAAACAGCAACAATGTTCAGCAAAGTAAGATCTACAAATAAGTCGCAATTACCAAAGTTGTCAGTCAACCCCTTTAGGAGTTATTGCCCTTTATAGTTAAGTTTTAACAATTTATCGTAAATTTTTGTAATCTTTTACAAAAATCTTCTTCTCTGAAACTACTGAGACAAATTTAACCATACTTGGCCATAATCATTATTAGGGTATCTAGTTTAAAAAATTTGTCCGATGACCCAGCCTTCCAACCATCATGGCCGACATGGTTAAAAATAGAACATAGGGGTAAAATGCAGTTTTTGGTTTATATCTCTGAAACTAAAGCATTTAGAGCAAAACTGACAGGTGGCAAAAATGTTCATCAGATTTAGATTTATCTGCCCTGAAATTTTCAGACGAATCCGACAACCCGTTGTTGGGTTGCTGCCCCTGAGTTAGTAATTTTACAGAAATTTTGCAGTTTTTTGTTATTATCTTAGATATCATTATAATATCTAATATCTAATACTATTAATTATGATTTTAACCGTATTTTACATGATTTCCAAAGCATCAGTAAATACAGGTGAGCAACACAGGATCTTGAGAGCCTCTAGTTTTTTTTATTGTTCCTGTCTGTCCATCATATTTGATATTACAAAACTTGTAGCTGCAGTGTTTTTTTGTTGTCATTAAAACATAATAATGTGCAATTTTTTTTAAACACAATATGAAAATAAGGAGATGTGGTATGATTGCCAGTGAACTATCTCATTTTAACAAAAGTGGGGAGTTAAACTGTAAACGTTTTTTAATGGAATGAGAGATTCAGATGTTTTTATAACAGAATTCCAAATGCAATGGTATATCATGAGTCTTGATTAGCACATCTAATCAGGAAATATTATTCAAAAAATGTAAAATTCAAAAGTCACTTAAAGTCTCTGAAAGAGGACCAGATGTACAGCTTATAACTAAGATCCATAAATGCTATTGCAACAGCAAATCAAATATAAATGAAGTATTTAAAGTGCTTTTTTAAAATAACACAAAAATTACATAACTGAAATTTTTTCTGTAATTTGTGATGTACTTATACCCAAGAATATTAGTTCCCTATGAATAATAATGAATCCACAGTAATCAGAAAATTAAATGGATGTTAGATGCAACAGCACAGTTTTCTCGTTTGAATTGTTTTACATTGTCATTTCGGGGCCTTTTATAGCTGACTGTGCGGTATGGGCTTTGCTCATTGTTGAAGGCCTTATGGTGACCTATAGTTGTTAATTTCTGTGTCATTTGGTCTCTTGTGGAGAGTTGTCTCATTGGCAATCATACCCCATCTTCTTCTTTTATATAGCAAATATTACTAGTCTGGCAACTTCCAAAACACTAAATTTTTATACAATTTTTATACGACCGCAAAAAATTTTTGTGGTCGTATATTGGTATGACGTCGTCGTCGTCGTCGTCCGAATACATATTGGTTTTCGCACTCTAACTTTAGTTTAAGTGAATGGATCTTTTTGAAATTTGACCATAAGGTTAAATACCACAAAAGGAAGGTTGGGATTGATTTTGGGGGTTATGGTACCAACAGTTAAGGAATTAGGGGTCAAAAAGGGGCCAAAAATGAGCATTTTCTAGTTTCCAGACAATAACTGTGGAACGGTGTATGGATCTCTCTGAAATTATACTACAAGTTTCCATACCACAAAGGGATGGTTAGGATTTGCTTTGGGGGGTTATGGCTCAAACTGTTTAGGAATTAGGGGCAAAAAAGGGGGAAAAACAAGGTTGTCCTGGTTAATGGACAAATACTTTAGTACAAAACATAATTTAAAGCAGTGTAAGGGAGATAAATCAAATACATCATTGAAATTATCTCCCTTGCACTGCTTTTAAATTATGTATAAAGTAATGGTTAATGAACAATAAAGATAATCTAAAACAGTGTAAGGGAGGTAATCCAAATACAACGTTTTGGTTACTTCCCTTACACTGCTTTTAAATTATGTTTAAAGAAATGCATATTTATAAAGGAAGACCAGTAAAAATATCTGCAAATGTTTTCATCTTATTTTTTTACAAAAAAATCCATATGAAAGATTTGACACTATATTTTTATTAATTCTATTATAAAATATATTAAGTTAGCACTATGGTAAATTTAAATGGGTAATTATGGTTGCCAACTCCATTGGAAATTTGAATTGAGATTATGACCATATCTTGAGGGAAAGAATTTTTTTGGGGGAAAAAGGGGGTGGGGGGGGGGAAAGAAATTGTGGAGGGCCAATTTTTTCTCATTTCAGAATTCAGAAATTAAAAAGAATTATTCTTCAAATATTATTTTTTTTTCAAATTTCAAATATTGAAAAATTTCAAGAAGTAATCTTTAATTGCACAGTATGGCGCATTAGATTTGTAAAATCTTTGATCACATTTATTTATTTGTTATGCCGAATCTAACAGTGTATTTAGATTTTTAATTTTGGGTCCAGTTTTCAAATTGGTCTACATTAATGTCCAAAGGGTCCAAAATTAAACTTTGTTTGATTTTAGCAAAAATTGAATATATGAGGTTCTTTGATATGCTGAATCTAAACATGTATTTAGATTTTTGATTTTTGGCCCAGTTTTCAAGTTGGTCCAAATTGGGGTCCAAAATTAAACTTTGTTTGATTTCAACAAAAATTGAATATATGGGGTTCTTTGATATGCTGAATCTCACCATGTATTTAGATTTTTTATTTGTGGACCCCGTTATCTAATTGGTTCATATTGAGGTCAAAAGGGTCCAAAATTAAACTTTGTTTGATTTCATCTAAAATTGAATTATTGGGGTTCTTTGATATTCCAAATCTAACCGTGTATTTAGGTTTTTAATTTTGGGTCCTGTTTTTTAAATTGGTCTACATTGAGGTCCAAAGGGTCCAAAATTAAACTTAGTTTGATTTTGACAAAAATTGAATTCTTGGGGTTCTTTGATTTGCTGAATCTAAACATGTGTTTAGATTTTTGATTATGGGCCCAGTTTTCAAGTTGGTCCAAGATAGGGTCCAGTATTTAAACTTTGTTTGATTTCAACAAAAATTGAATATATGGGGTTCTTTGATATGCTGAATCTAAACATGTATTTAGATTTTTGATTATGGGCCCAGTTTTCAAGTTGGTCCAAATTGGGGTCCAAAATTAAACTTTGTTTGATTTCAACAAAAATTGAATATATGAGGTTCTTTGATATGCTGAATCTAACCATGTATTTAGATTTTTTATTTGTAGGCCCCGCTATCAAATTGGTTCATATTGAGGTCAAAAGGGTCCAAAATTAAACTTTGTTTGATTTCATCGAAAATTGAATTATTGGGGTTCTTTGATATGCCAAATCTAACCGTGTTTTTAGATTTTTAATTTGGGTCCCGTTTTTTAAATTGGTCTTCATTGAGGTCCAAAGGGTCCAAAATTAAACTTAGTTTGATTTTAACAAAAATTGAATTCTTGGGGTTCTTTGATATGCTGAATCTAAACATGTGTTTAGATTTTTGATTATGGGCCCAGTTTTCAAGTTGGTCCAAGTTGGGGTCCAAAATTAAACTTTTTTTGATTTCAACAAAAATTGAATATATGGGGTTCTTTGATATGCTGAATCTAACCATGAATTTAGATTTTTTATTTGTGGGCCCCGCTATCAAATTGGTTCATATTGAGGTCAAAAGGGTCCAAAATTAAACTTTGTTTGATTTCATCGAAAATTGAATTATTGGGGTTCTTTGATATTCCAAATCTAACCGTGTATTTAGATTTTTAATTTTAAGTCCCGATTTTTAAATTGGTCTACATTAAGGTCCAAAGGGTCCAAAATTAAACTTACCGGGTAGTTTGATTTTAGCAAAAATTGAATTCTTGGGGTTCTTTGATATGCTGAATCTAAACATGTGTTTAGATTTTTGATTATGGCCCAGTTTTCAAGTTTGTCCAAGTTGGGGTCCAAAATTAAACTTTGTTTGATTTTAACAAAAATTGAATATATGGGGTTCTTTGATATGCTGAATCTAACCATGTATTTTGATTTTGGACATTGGACCATAATAGGTAAATTAAAAAAATTCAAGTTCTTAGACCACATTCTTTCTGTGTCAGAAACCTATGCTGTGTCAAATATTTAATAACAATCCAAATTCAGAGCTGTATCAAGCTTGAATGTTGTGTCCATACTTGCCCCAACTGTTCAGGGTTCGACCTCTGCGGTCGTATCAAGCTGCGCCCCAGCGAAGCATTTTATTTAGTTTATAAGGATCTGATCAGTTTTACAAAAAATCTTTTTTACTACTAAAGTTGATTGTAAGTCATGAACAATTCAGTATACTGTTTTGTTCGTATGATGTGCTGTTATATCTCTGTCCAAGGTGGGGGGGGGGGGAGCCTGCAAACATGTTTTACTCCGCCACATTCTGTATGTGCCTGTCCCACGTCAGGAGCCTGTAATTCAGTGGTTGTCGTTTGTTGCTGTATATCATACATTTTTTTTCGTTCATTACTTTGTACATAAATCAGGCTGTTAGTTTTCTCGTTTGAATTTTTTATACATTTGCCGTTTCCAGGCGATTTATAGCTGACTATGCAGTATGGGTTTTTCTCATTGTTGAAGGCTGTACGGTGACCTAATAGTTGTTAATTTCTGTGTCATTTGGTCTCTTGTGGAGAGTTGTCTAATTGGCAATTATACCACATCTTCTTAGTTTTAGTCCCATACCGACTAAATCAAAGGGGACTTTAGGTTTGCACTCCATCCGTCTGTCTGTCCATCCGTCAGTCCGGCAAATCAGTTTTCCACACTTTTTTTTCTTCGTGCTTGAAGATATTGATTTGATATTTGGTGTATTGTTTTATCATGACAAGTTACAGATCAAGTTCGAATTTTGTTCCGGTCTGACTATTTTGTGCAGAGTTATGGTCCTTGAACTTAGAAAATTTACTCAAATAATCAGTTTTCCGCACTTTTTTTTGTCATGCTTGAAGATATTGATTTGATGATTGGTATATAGTTTTATCATGACATGTTATAGATCAAATTCGAATTCTGGCCTGTTCTAATGATTTTGTGCAGAGTTATGGTCCTTGGACTTAGAAAATTCACTCAAATAATCAGTTTTCCTTACTTTTTTTTGTCATGCTTGAATGTACTGATTTAATAATTGATAACTAGTTTCATCATGCCAAGTTACAGATCAAGTTCGAATTTTGATCTGGTCTGATGATTTTGTGCAGAGTTATGGTCCTTGAACTTAGAAAATTCACTCAAATAATCAATTTTCCACATTTTTTTTCGTCATGCTTGAAGATATTGACTTGATATTTGTTATATAGTTTACACCATGACAAGTTATAGATCAAGTTAGCATTTTGTGCCAGTACAATGAATTTTTAACCGGTAGGGGACTATGTATTGCCAGGCAATACTCACAGAATGCTTGTTATATTTAGTCAACTTTAGTCTTAAGATTTTTTGTGAAACTGATCACTGATCAGATAATGACAGCATAAAATTCTCCAGTGACCAGGTTTTAAATACTGTAAATCAAGAAATTATTGCGAGGTTTTTATTACCGTATGCCCCCGCCGTAGTTGTTCGTCCCGTCTCAATTTACAGTAAAGGAAGCTGCTTTTGAAAATTCTGGAAATTATTGATATTGGATTTTTTCTCTCAAAAATAAACAAAAAAATTGCTTCTCCTTTTTGTTGAATTTTATTAAATTCTGCAGCTTACACAAAACTTAAAATGTTTGGTGGTAATATTGAATCAAGAAGTGTACATCAGACAGTTTTGTGACTTTTAGACTGGAACAATGTTTACACAAAAATATTGAGTGAAATGCAACATTTTGTTAATTTTGCATTAGAATGGAGATAACCTTTTGTTTTAAGCCTGGCCATGCATATCTTTCCATATTGCTCTGGTAGCTGTCATTGCGCTAAAATATTTAATCCAGTCTAATTGCCTTTGTGGTTTAATGGTAGCCTCCTTTGCCTTGAGTGCTAGAAGTTATGGGTTGTATCATCCATTCAGATCAAAACAAAGGCTTTAAATTAATATTGGGTGCTTCTCTGTTGAGCACACAACATTTAAAGGCAAAGACTGGTTGTCTGAGAGTTGGAATAGTGTGTTTTTAGTAAGTTGACCTGTTTTTATATAGACTAATCTCTATAAAAATCTTACTCAGGTGAGATGGAACACATTCAGGTCACTGTCATAAGAACAACAAAAAAACAACAATTGGTGTTTAATTTATAAAATGAGAAATAAAAAACATATATTATCAACAATTTAATAATAATACATATGAGAAATATTTGCACTAGTGTTGAAAAGTTCTAGGGAAAAAATAATATCTAACCAGAGATGGTTTAAATAAAAACCCTACAATGTCGTATTTTTTTCATACAATATGAAAGGATTGTTAATAAAAAAAAATCCACTATGAAAGTTATATTCAACAGCATTACCTAAAAAACTGTTTAATTTACTGAAAAATTGATTTAGGTATGTGATAAAAACGAAAGAAATGATTTTAAGTTCATCCAAAAAACAATACATCCTTTGGAGTATATTAACTTGATATTCTGGGAATAATGTTCTAATGCCAAATAAATCCAGTTGGAAAAAAAAAACCTTCTCAAATCATGTTAAATGTGTACAAATCTATTACTGTGGACTCATTAATATTCATGGGATACCAATTTTCATGGATTTCGTCAGTATAGGTAAACCACAAATTTAAATATTCAATGAAATTCAAATATTCTATAGGCTTGTATATATAGGAGTATTTGACAAAACCACAACATCTAATGTCCATGATGGTACACTATTTCCTCAATCCAGGAAAAATAAGTGAATCCACAGCATATTATTGATATACATTGATATAATTTCCCACCAAAAAAAATTCTGCATTATTTAGAATGTTTGGAGTAATGACATTAATGGACATAAAATGTTTTACAAAGAAACAATTTATTTCTCTGTATTTTTGTTGAAATATATTTAATAGTAACACTAGATTCTTCACAAAAATATGTCATAACAGTCTAGTTTGACCGTGTAATATTTCACAACCAACAACTACTTCTATGATCTGACAATACATAACAATCAGGCAAAATGAGACCACAACTTTAAAGTCAATTAAAATTTGTTAAATGAAAATAATAACTTTAAGAAATCGCCATCCAAAGATAAATGTTAGCTATTTACTATATAACAATTATAAACTGCTGTTTCATGGACCCATTGGTACATGTAGTCTGATTTTTTTGCACAACAAAATGAATAAAAACGAACAATTATACTAACCGATGAATATTCCATGGGTAGTACATTCTTTTAATCAACAATCCCATTGTTTTGTTTGTACATGTTATAAAATATTTTCCAGATCTCTTTAGACTTTGATAAGGTAAATTTCATATTTTATGAATTGTATTTACATGACTTTTAAGCCAATTATCAATTTAGTATAACTATTTTTGTTTTAATCAGTTCTTGACAAATGCCATAATTGTGCAATCATTAGTTTAAACCTTTTTTTCCTTAAATAATCTAAAAATTTCAACACATGTGTTTTGAGTAATATTGTTGCTAGTAGAGCCCACATTTTATTCTGACAGCATCTTTAATATGCTTGTAAGGCAGCTGACTCTTTAAAACTATTTTGGACCATTTACACTGTTGACATCTTCTGCTCAAGTTTATCAACACAATACTATGACTCATTCAAATCATCTTTCAGATTAAAATATTTAATTGTATATAAAGTTAAATTTAAAAAGTATAGATACAGCAGCTTAAACAGCTTTCTATTTAAAGTTAATTAACATCTGATTATGCAAACTAGTATCTCCACAGACCACAGTACTAGATTATTTGGGTCTTTGTATACAGTTTTGATTGATTCTCCATATAATATCAAGACATTATGGTTTCGATCTAATTGCTTTTTATGTCCATCAGTATATTAAACTTTCTACTCAAAATTTTCTGTATCAACTGTTTTTCTGGAATATCACTGTCTTGTTATTTGCTGGCATATCAATCTGTAATAATATCAAACAGCTTCAATAAATCATAAAAGGAGAAGGTAGAAGTTGGGGCCAAATTAGCCCTAGAATGAATTGTACATGTATTTAAAATTTTCTCAAATTTGCAGAATTCAAAATTGAATCTATGTAATACAATAAAAGATTACTGTTTTAGTTTAAAAACAAATTGCCAGCCCTGGCTGAGACAGCCATGAAAATACAGCAAATTCAGTAAAATGGTAAATCTACAATTTGACTCACAGATACTTAAATATAATATAGAGCATAAGCCACTTCCAAAAAGATACTTATACAAGAATTGAATTTTCTGTTTATATACTTGGTGACAAAAATATCAGTTTAGGATAAGCTTGTGCTCTACACTGATTTCCCTGAAATGTTCCTGAAATTACCATATTTCTGCTAACATTTGGTAAATTGCCACTATTATGATCCAATAGATGTCACTTCAATGACGTCACAATCAAATTGCATATTCAAAACTAACCCTGTACTATCATTTTATAACTGCCTTTTTTTATCAGGCTAAAAATAATAATATTATCCATTTATTTAATTTCCTTCAAATTTACAAATCCAAATACCAGTAATCCCAAAAGATACCAATAGACAAATTTTATTACCGATGTTGCTTTTCTTTTCTAAAACTAAACCTTTAAAATTGCCGATGCATCTTAGAACATTACATACAAAACCTTGAAATGGCTTTATTCTTTCAAAAGATGTTTTTCCAAGTTGCAGTTTGTATTTATCTCTTCAAATAGACAAACTGAAATTTTTTTTATAGCCAATTGTTAGCCATTAGCTTCATTTAATAGTCAATATCAGGAACATTGTTTTTAAAAAATGTATGACTTGGATATACTACACTGTTTAGCTAACTTACCATTTCTAAAAACTTTAGTCCATTTTCTTCTGCTAATTTCTTAACATCATCAATATCTCTCAGTCCCCACTGACTGTCCCTATAAATATACAATTACTATAAATATACATAAGGGCTATTCCAGAAAATAATGTAGGTGGGTGGGGGTGGACATCAATTTAGTTTTATCCCACCGGGCCACCATTATACCTTTTCTTTAATAATTTCTTTCTAATAATGTGTCCAACCCTTCCTTACATTTTTCCTGTAGTAACCTTTAAAATTTTTAAGTCAACAGTCTGGATAATAACAGGAAGAAAAGCAGCAAATGGAAGTCTTTTCTTTCATTGTTTGAGCTCAGCTGTTCACTTACTGACAAGCTGTAATCAGTTGATACAGGTTAGTTTGACTTGCTAATAGAATTGTGTTTTGCGTGTAGACAGTACTGGTAAAATGTTTTCTGTGATAGAAAAAAAAGTTATCTTCATACATTACAAGCACTGGCTCAACCTTAATCACCAACCCTGATCATGCAATTACATGGACATTTGGTCATAGTATAATACAAACCTTGCTCTTAGAGAAGAATCAAACTGAACATTGCTATCTGGGGTTATAGTACCTTGTATGGCAAATGGCTGAAATAGAGTAAATATAAAAAAAAAAATAGCATAAACTGGGTACCAAACTTAGGGAGCTTATTATGAGAGATCAAACAAAGCAACTTTTCTTTAGTTCATTTGTAAATATAACCTCTCCTTGAACAATTTTCCCTTAGTATTCTGAACATCTATGTCTGTTACATTTGAATGTATTTGACAGTAAAATTAACATTTCTTTTTCTTCAGTTTCTCTTGTATTAAACTATACATGTGCTTAATAACAAAAAATATTTGCATAAAGTGTGGGAAAGTTTTGATCATATTTGACATATATCTAATAAATTTTCATAATTTCCGTAATATCATGCTTCACAAATTTCATAAAAAAAGGTACAGTTTAGGGTCTATTGGGCCCTGTATATTTGTGAATGTCTGAAAAATGCACATTATTATCTCAATCATTAATTTTGAAGCAAAGTATTTACATTTGAAAAAAAAAATTCTGATTACATGGGATGATGTAGCATATTTACCTGACGATATTGGGATATGGGTATTTAGTCAAATCTTAACAGGAAGTTGTGATAATATTAAACAAGAGGCTCTCAAGAGCCTGAATCGCTCACCTGTAATTTTTTGCTTAAATCTTTCAATGATTATTTTTCCTTTTTAATATATATTAATGAGTGGCTTAAAAATTCCATTGAAATGTTCTTTGTATCTGTCATATTTTCTTCAAAAGCAAAGAAATACATTTTACCCCTATGTTCCATTTTAGCCATTGTGGCTATGTTTCTTGACGTACAAGAAAATAAAATACAAAATTTATACTAGATACTCTGAAACTCATTCAGCCCAAGTTTGGCTGAAATTGATTCAGCAGTTTCAAAGGAGAAGATTTTTTAAAGTAAGCAAACTAGATGAACAAATTGTGAAAAATTGTCTTTAAAGGGCAATAACTCCTTAAGGACACATTTGACAATTTGGGTCATATAAACTTATTTGTAGATCTTACTTTGCTGAACATATTTGCTGTTTACAGTTTATCTTTATCATTAATACTATTCAAGATAATAACCAAAAACTGCAAAATTTCCTTAAAATTACCAATTTTAGTGGCAGCAACCCAACAATGGGTTATCAGATTCATCTGAAAATTTCAGGGCTGATAGAACTTCACCTAATGAACACTTTTATCCCTTGTTGTCAGATTTGTTCTAACTCCTTTGGTTTTTTTTTAGATATAAGCCAAAAACTGCATTTTACCCCTATGTTCTATTTTTAGCCATGGTGGCTATGTTTTTTGACGAAACATAAAATAAAACACAAACTTTATTCTAGATACCCTAAGGATCATTCATCTTAAGTTTGGTTGGAATTGGTTCAGTGGTTTCAGAGGAGAAGATTTTTTAAAGTTAGAAAACATGATAAACAAGTTGTGTAAAATTGTCCTTAAAGGGCAATAACTCTTCAAGGGGTCAATTGACAATTTTGGTCATATAAAACTTATTTGTAGATCTTACTTTGCTGAACATATTTGCTGTTTACAGTTTATCTTTATCATTAATACTATTCAAGATAATAACCAAAAACTGCAAAATTTCCATAAAATTACCAATTTAGTGGCAGCAACCCAACAATGGGTTATTAGATTCATCTGAAAATTTCAGGGCTGATAGAACTTTACCTAATGAACACTTTAACTCCAAGTCAGATTTGCTCTAACTGCTTTGGTTTTTGAGATATAAGCCAAAAACTGCATTTTACCCCTAATGTTCTATTTTTAGCCATGACAGCCATGTTTTTTGACGAAACAGAATATAAAACACAAACTTTATTCTAGATACCCTAAGGATCATTCAGCTTAAGTTTGGTTGGAATTGGTTCAGTAGTTTCAGAGGAGAAGATGTTTGAAATAGTTTACACCAGACGGACGATGACGATGACAGACACCAAGTGATGGCTAAAGCTCACCGTACCGAAGGAACGGTGAGATAAAAACCGACACGGATAGAAAAAATAAACAATGTCAACATGTTCAGGCTATAATTAAATCTTTTTTTGGGTAAGTTGATACACACATACGTTCTTTATTGTATCTTATACTGTTAGAGGCAACTAATATTTAATGACTATATTATATTAATGTGTAAACACGTTAATCATGAGCTATGAAAGTCAAGTAGTTTGTGCATTTTTCTGAGTAGGTTTAAAAATTCAAACAAATATACTTTACTGTGGGTTAGCATTCCTTAGCAGTCACTATCCTATAGATTTAACAACTGTTGGTTATATTGATAATTTAGAAACTTCATTGACGCTGGAGCACAAATGTTGTGTTAATTAATTTGTTTGATGTGTCATTTGTATACAAGAGTGACATCCCTTTGTACTATGTTTCAATTCCAAAAAGTCTATCAATCAATGCGTTTATAATTTCCCTTGAACAGGTTCATAATTTCATCTTTATGTATAGTTATTTGATTTAATTTCAAATCATTACAACATTTATAAATCTAATAGATCTAAGTATTTATCAAAGACATTTATGTATATCTATAATTTTATCTATTTGTTTTCAAACGTTTAAAATTATTATATACCAATATAAAGAACCTTTCATAATTTTATAAATATTATTTAGTCACATATTAAGTTACCTAGTTTGATGAGGCAATCTACTCTGACAGTATAGATAGTGCACCTGCCTCAAACTAATCCTTGAATTGTTTTCTTTTATGGGAATATATTATATAAATAGTATTCTATCTACTTTAAATTTGAGGTAAATTAATCAGGTGAATAACACATGTTTAATTCTGCTTTTAAGAATAGCAGTTTTAAGTTGTTGTCCGCATCATATAACCTCCAACAGCATTGATCCTGCTTCTTGTAAAAGCATTTATTGTTAAAGTTGATATGATGTATATAATTATGTCAGAATTTAAAATGAAGCAGATATTTTGTCTTGATTTATCTGCATTACTTGATTCCCTAAAGACAAATACATGTATGCTGTGTAACACCCCTAACACAAACACATACAAGATACACTTACGCACAAACACAAAAACAGAACACCATAACCACCACTTTATTCCAGAAACTTCAAACTTATGTCAAATGCTTTAGTGAGAAATTATAATTGGAACCTACATGAAACATTTGAGCTTTTTTGAAAAAGACTATATATGAAAACTGAATTATATTATCTCCCCATAATGATAAAATGTTGAGAAAATTAATCAAGAGTTATCTTGCATTAATCACAAAGAGGGACTAGCAAACAATTTTAAATTAGAGCTTAATTAACATGAAAACAATTTTCCACTAAAAATGAATGTTACTTTTTTCAATTATAAGGACTTAGTTAGCCAAATCTACTAATTTTATTTGATATTATGAATTTTTATGACAATAGATAAATATGCTAGATCATGCTGCACTGAACCAAACCTCAGCAATTTTTGCTTGAAACAGATTCATAAGAAAACTGCAGATTTCAATTATAATATTCTTTTTTTTTCTATTTAAACAGACTTACTCCGTACAGGAATAAATATCCAGCAGGTCGCAAAAAATACTTTGCTGTTCTAAACAAACCCTACAAAAATAAAGAATCATATATGTAGGTATATATAATCCATCCAATTCAAAAGGTATTGTTAGTAATCAAATGGATAGAAAAAAATCTATAATCACTATTCTTTGCTACCTGTTGATCAATTAACTTTCAATGGTTAAATTCTTTCGAACAAGTGTATAGTGTGAATTATCTCCCTTGAAGATGTATGCATAAATAATAAATTCTTCAAACTATGGTTATAAGATATTCTACATGCAGGTACTGTATTTCCCTATACCCATAGAGTGAGATAATTTAAATTTTAAATAATTTGGTGGGTTTGTGCAACTCATTTTGTTTTATGTCTCCAATAGATTAGAGGTATTGCATGCTCAAATTTTCATAGGTGTGACTTATGACAATGTCCATGTTTGAGCTTATGAATCCAATTAAATCAATGAATCAAAAGAAAGCAAACTTTTTACCAAAAATAAAATTGCATAATTTTGGTTTGAAGGAATTTGCTGAAAAGAATTGCATAATGGACCATGCAAGTCCATATATGGCTTTGGTAAATAGAATAGATGGAGCAGTACTGCACTTCCTGCTAGTGGTAACACTCAATTTAGTTTTATTTGTTGAGTAGTTTCAAAGGATTGGAAGAACAGAGATGCATAAAACTAAAGAATCATGCAAGATCAGAGGATAGGACAAAAGAGAATGCTGAGGACCATGATGCCAAAAACTATTGACAGTATACACCATTATGTTTTTTTCTTAATATATTGAGTATAACCAATATAGTCATGTATAAAATGAACTATAATAACCTACAATTGTATTCTTGTCCACCTATATATAACACATCAAGTAAGTATACTTACTATAGCTGTCTCCCATGGAGATATATGGATCATATTTATGTTGTCTATTATATCTACATTTCCAGGACTTATTGTGTCTATTTTTAGGTCCTCTGGAGGTGTTGTTATGTCTACATGTAGAGGAGGATGTACATTTTTCACACCAGTATGTGCAATATATGCTGATATACTATATAGAAAGAAAACTTAATGAATTATAGTTTTGTTTTAAAAATCTTTTACTGCATGTTTCCCTTATAGAACATGGATCCATTGGCAATTGACATTTAGCATAATCGTTTTATTTAGCCTGTCTTTATTCTATTTCAATACAAATCATTCACATGTATGTTATATAAAATTTACCCAAAGCCATTTGTCTTATAAGAAAATAATAGACATATTTACACTTGTATGCAAATTTGTCTGCCATTACTTAAAATCACACAAGTTCCTGTAAAATTTGACATCACAATTTTAGAAATTTGACATCATAATTAAATAGTGATTGTTGCTTGACATCTGAAGGTTATTCGGAGACAGACCTAAGGTCATTTGGAGACAAAATTCAGCTAAATACCAAAAGTGTAAATAAGTTTATACTAAATGTAGTATACAAACTATATTTACAATGACATCCAATATGAACAATTGTTTACAATGACATCCAACATGAACAATTGTTTACAATGACATCCAATATGAACAATTGTTTAAATATCCAGGAAAAATAGACTTACATTGACTTATATTATACATGTATTAAACATACACACCTTCCCAAAGTTTTTTGGTCATATTCAGTTGGCTGCCATGTTATATTTGGGTAAAACTGGGCAAAATGTGCAACATGAACTCCTGCACCTGAGGCAACCTCTAAAGCTCTACCTTTGAAACCTTGAGGAATATATTTCTGTAAGACCTTAAGAATTGGTTCCTTGTTTCTCTCAGCTGCTGGTACATGGAACATTCTAGTGTTTAAAAGCTAAAATAATAATAAGGCATTAAGTTTTAATATAGATTCTACCACAATATCCCATAAATTGTATTGTAGTGAGCACTTTCAAATGATTATAATTCAAATGTAGTATGTTAACCTTTACCGTGAGGGTTGGGGGGGTTGTAATATTAAGGCTTCTACTCAAAATACTGTTTTTGGCTTAAATGCTCTCCATACTTTTAGATGTCAACTGTTTGATACATATTTCGAAAAAGCTGCATGATCCCTCAACCTAAGGCCATTTATTGTCATGTCTCCGAAGTTAAATGTGCAGTTTGAGCCCAAATACAAACTTAGAAAATTGAAATCCCATAAACTGGTTTTTCTTGAGAGATGGCCCGGGCTACCTCTGGCACACTGGCACAAGCAATACATAGGCCTAAAACTACAAAAATAGTGTAAACCCACAGGCATTTAAGTACTGATCCTAATTTATTATTGAAATATGCATAGGGAATGACTATTTCTGTATGCAGGTGCAGGTGAAGCCAAATATTGAGAATAATCAACATGCAGACTCAGTGAGATATATCTATCACTCACTGGCTTGTTCTTCCAGATCAAGAGTTGACGATTTTCACACCAGATGACCAAGTTTTGGGCAACTTTTATGCAAAAAAATTATATCATATGTGTAAGCGTACTTTTATTCCGCCGTGTGTTTATTCCTGGTAACTGTTTTTCACAAGAGAATATTGGATGTAAATAGTGTGAAAGCGTCGATCTTGATATCGTTGTTTTGTTTATATTAGACTGGTTTATTGTTTACATAAATAAATGGGTTAAAATTAAAATGATTTTCAAGGAACAAGTTTAATTAATCTGAGTCAATCTAGTAAATAATATTGATGATGATGAGGAGGATATTTTTATAACTCAAAATACTTTATCAATGATCAGGACATTGAACTTGATACAAACCAAATTTAAAGAGCAGATTTGTTCTTACATAAAGCTTCAATTACAGAAGCATCTTTTGATATTGACATAGAAGATATGATTTAATATCCAATTCGACCGAAAAGCAAATACATAGAAAAAACTTCGGCAATCCAATAAATATAAGGTATAGAACCACTAATTCAGGCCTGGTCGGAAAGAACATACAAGAAAGTAGTACATATTTTAAACAAAATAGTTCCTACGCATAGCTGTATCTTTGTCAATAGTGGGAATATTTGGGTAGTTTTAGTATCAAATGAAAGCTTTGGGACTTGGGATCACTGTAGAACCCTTGTGGAAAGTTTTATTTGAATAATAAAGAAGTATATGAAATTTTAATAGGAGGGCTCATTTGGCCTGTTGTTCAGATCAGAAGTTCCTGTTTTTGTACTATCAAACTTCCGGGAACGAGTACGCTCTAATATGCAATTAAAGGTATGTTGATTTTTTCAGCACAAGTCAGCATAAGGTACAGTTTTGACATGAAATAACTGCCACTTAATTTGAACTTAAGACAAAGTAGCCATTTATGCTTGAAATTGCAGAATTTAACATAGAAAGCAATGGGGCTATGAATTAGTGGTTTTATACCATAAATATTACAATTAGTGACAATTTAAAAGCATATGATTTTATAGATTTGCATAGAAAAATTATTTAAATCTCATTCGTTAATAAGCATTATTGTGTTATCGTGTGTTCAAAATGAGTACCAATCACTTCATCAATGAATGGATCTAAAGCACTAGTGTAATTTATCCCGCCCGGTATAAAATAACTATAGTGCAATCATTCCGGTACAAAATCACTAGTGTAATCATTCCTAGATCAAAAACACTAGTGTGAACATTCCTTGAATGAAAACTCTCCACTTTTTACATAAATCAGCTATGCAATTTTTAAATACACTAAAAACTATTAAGCCACATTTTATATATATATTTCCCCTTCAACAAAAAACTTTTTAGAACCTTATAATGACTGGTGGATGTTTTACACTGGACCTGGATAGAAAACCCTAGTGATTTTTTGTTGGTGGATAAAAATCACTGGGGATTTTCTTCCTCCGGATAAAGTACACTGGCGGAATCAAACCACTGTTACATATGCACTCCTTGTCCCTGATTCTTCACAATAAACTTTTAAATCTACATGCAGGCCCAGAGTTCAATTTTTGGAAAATTTTAGTTAGATTCTGTTGGCCTGTAGAGATGATTTTTACAGGCCTGAAAGCAGTTTTACAAGCCTGGGTACAAACCTGGGCTGCTGGGCCTGTGGTTAAGCAATATTGTCTTTGGGTAATATGTTGTCATTTATCTGAATGTTTGTGCCATGACAGCAAATATCTTGAAATCTAAAGTTTATATTTTTATCACTGAAAATTGATACTTGTTAGTTTTTTCATTGTTATGGGGTATAATACCTAAATGGGGATAATTATACCATTTATGAGGATTATGACTTCCCCAACTTTCTGAAGTACACACTTGGAGAGCTCTCTGATATAATGCACAATTGCTACTGTAAGTCTAGAGTTCATTACAACCTATTGTTTTTTTGTTTTTTGTTTTTTTTGTATTTATAACTTATTAAAACCTGTTTCAATAGCTGCTTCGATATCATAAAATTGGAAATAAAGTTGGATTGGCTAACCGGAAGTGTTAATCATCTTATAAATCAGCCCAACTTCGGAAACGAATTAAAGTCCAATTTCAACTTTAATATTCTATCAAAGAAAATCATGAAAAATTGGTTAATGTCTCCTGGGAACAGTATATCTATATATATCAATATATATGTTCCTGATGTCTCCAAGGATTTCACTTTACAAATCCTTGGTGTCTCAACACAGATTATAGCCTAAAATTCAACAGCAAATGCTTGATATAGATTCCGGAAAGTGTAACGATTCTTCTACGGAAATTGTTTCAAATATTAGTTTATTCCCGCGAAAATTTCTTCAGCACGATTTGCAGCAAGTGTAGAGATGGAAGTCTATTAGCCAACAGTCGGGGAAAAAGGTGTTTCCCTAGTATACTGTTTGATAAAAAAAATATTAATGTTCATAACACAAGTTTGACAATTGACGAGTTATCTGCTATCTATACAGACAAAACTAAACTGAAAGTTTGATAGCCTTCATATTTCAAGAATTTCCAACCCCTTCATTTGTAAATTCAGTAACAGCTTATATAGCTCAATTGGGTTTATCTGCTCCATTGTATTATAACAAATATATCCCTTTAAGTCTTCATATGAACTTAGTTTCTGCAATTGCATGAAAATTTATCGACTGGAAAAAGTGTTTTAAGGTTCATGTGGACCCTTTGGCTAAAATGGCTGTGTTTTTACCTCAAAATTTACTCTGAGTACGGACAAACCTGTGCATCTGGAAAAATTTTAAGGCATAGCATGCCTTAGATAAATAAAATTCAAATGCATTGTATGTTTTAGAAACAAAGTCACCTGTCGAAATGTATTCTAACGTTTTCTTAACTGTTCTTGTATCTAAGTTAGTTTCATTGGAAAGAGTTCCATATGGCACCCAGTGTTCTCCCCAGGCCCTTAAAGGACCGCGGGCCCGCGATGTATAATTTTTTACCATGGTGGTATCGTTCTTACCGTGATGTATAATTTTTCCCCGCGGTGGTAAAATTTTCAATGAAAAAATCGTAAATCGGTAAAGTTTTAAACGACCTGTTAAATCTTTCCGTGCGGTATAAAATTTGAGGTGAAATTTGACCAGTTCAATCCAGTTCAAACCAGTTCTACTTCAGTTGTGAAGATAGTTTACACCAGGTGATCGATTTACCTTACGAGGTTAACCTTGTTGATTGGATTCAATCGATGTAATTAACACTTGTAACAGGATTCTTTTGTGTTTTAATTAAGAGATCATAACTTTATGATCACAGATAACTATTTTATGGCTTCGCTCACCACCCAAGCGCTGACCTGTGACATGTCGGCAAACATTTGTACACAAACAGTGCCCATAGTTGTACACACGCTGGAACATTTGTGTACATTAATTAAATTGTTGGCTCATTACAGATAATTAACAATTATAAATTTCTCAATTTTTAAGAAGCACGTGGTACAAGCTATCCTCGTCATAAATATACGATTTCGAAAGATGGAAATCATAATTCACGATGTCCGGGCCAAATGCAAAACATCGTAAGACAGTTGACAACAGTCTCACTCGTTGGTTGGGGAAACCCGACAGTATTACAACTACCACTAACCCATGCCCTTCTCCAAACTCAAAAGCAAGACAATCTGGTATAGACCCAGAATGGCAGAAGACAAACCCATGGTTGATTATCACCCAAGACAAGAAAGGTTAATACTTATATGAATTTGAAATCTATATTTATATTAAATTGATTAAAGGTTAAGGAAACATGCACATTTAGTTATATTAAGCCTCATTGTTAACTTTTATATAGATCTCCTTATCACTGGATTCCTTTTATATAAAAATATAAGTATAGCAAATATTTTATATATATAACACAACTTTCTATCTAGAAAGTCTTTTCATTTGAACATTTTTTTCAAGAAATTTATAAAAGAAATATAATCTTTAGATGTATATTTTGTAATGAAATAATAGTTACTTATTTAGTAATTGAGATTTTTTTGAAGCAATTTTTTTAATTATATATTTTAAATCTCAGGTATGTTATGCAAGTTCTGTATCAAGTTCAACATGAGACCTAAGAATGGCAGTGGAACCTGGGTTACCCATCCTTGCACCTACTTAGTCAAAGACAGTGTAACATCTCACAGCAAATCAAAGAATCACCAGCAAGCTACAGACTTAGAAGCTAGCTCCATTGTAGCATCCCAGGGCCAAGGTATTCAAGCAGCACTGGACACCCATACTTCAATGGAAACTACTGCATTGATTGGTGCCTTCAGATGTATCTACTGGCTAGCCAAAGAAGAAATAGCTCACACAACTCACTAACCATCCCTACTGGAGTTGGCAAAGACACTTGGGTGTGACTACTTGAATCTTCTCAAGAAAGGACAGAATGTCAACTACACCAGTCAGAGGACCATGCAGGACATGCTACTTACTATCAACGACCATATTCAGACCAACATACTCCAGACTATACACAACAGTCCATACTTCTCCTTATTGATCGATGAGACCACAGATATAGCAGTAGTAAAGCAGATGACAGTTATGGCCAGATACCTAACACATGACTACCAAGTAAGTTATTAAAAATATTTATTAATTAAAAAATGTAATATTTCACATTATTTAACTTAAACAAAAATATTTTGGTATTTTAACATATTATTTAGATTTTAGTCATAAGATAAGAAGATGTGGTATGATTGACAATGAGCCAACTATTCAACAGGGTAGAAAAGAAACTGATTTTAACATTTATGTATATTCTATCTAACATGCAATTAATGTCTTTATTCATATTTCAGGTTAAAACCTCTTTCCTGACACTTGTAGATCTACTAGACGGCAAGGCAGACACTATTGTTCCAGCAATCAAGACTCTCATGACTGACAGGCAACTACCAATCCAGAAGATGATGGGTTTTGGCTCTGATGGTGCTTCTGTCATGGTGGGAAGAAAGACTGGTGTAAGTAGTGTTTTTTATTTACAATTTATGATTAAAAGAGGAGACATTAGAAAAATTAATTTTAAAATAAAATCATCCAGTATAATACGGTCCATCAATTCCTAATAATGATAATAACAAGTTTGTTTACTGTTATTTATTTATTTTTTTTTTTTTTTATTAGGTAGCTACTCAGTTGAAGTCACAGAACCCAGAGATGGTCAATGTACATTGTATTGCCCATAGATTGGCCCTTGCAGCAGCCACAGCATCTGACAACATACCTTACCTTCAGAAGTTTAAAGACATACTCGGGCAGCTTTTCTATTACTACCAGAATTCTGCAGTTAGAATAAGTGGGTTGAAAGAAATAGAGGTATATTAAATATTTACGTATTTTGATTTCAATTTTAATAATTTGTTTGTTTGTATTTTTAATTTCATTCATAATAACTTTTTTTTACAATTTAATAGTTATTGAAATAGTTGATGAATTACTGATATCACACAAATATAATAAGAAACTAAAAACTTCTGACTTAATTGATTTTTATTTTCATAAAAGAAATATTAAATTCATATTCATGCAAAATGTTTAACTTTCTCTTTTAATTTCAGTTGATACTAGGTACCCCCAGTATCAAGTTGAAAGAAGTAGCTGACACCAGATGGTTATCCCACGAGTGCAGTGACAGCAATCCGTAGATGTTTACCAGCCCTTATACTCAGCCTTGAAAGAGAAGCATCAGAAAGGTGTGACGCAACAGCTGCAGGACTGGCCTTATTTGTCAAGAACCCACTGTTCATCTGTACTATATCGATGTTGTCTGATGTACTTCCACACCTTACTAGACTCAGCAAGATCTTCCAGAAGACCACTGTAGACCTTTCACTGGTAGACTCCATGGTATCAGCAACCCAGATGTCACTACAACACCTACTCAATCAGCATGGGGAACACATGACCAACCTACCAGACCTGTTTCAGCAGCTAGCAGAGTATGGGGTTAAACAGGACAGCACAGCAGTTGACAAGTAAAAGGACAAGGTATTTTTTTCATATACTTTATTTGTACAATAGAATGGGAAACATATCATCATTATTAATTTGAAAATATTAGAGTGAAAAAAATACCAACTATAATAAAAAAACTATTTTAATTTTATTTCAATATAGTTTTTTAATGTTCTTCTTTTTTTTCTGCTTATATTTTCATAAACTTATGTCATTATTTTTTTTTTAGACTTATCATCAGTTCATCAACAATGTTATAGAGAACCTCCACAACAGATTCCCTGACACAGCTCTACTGGATGCCTTTAGTGTATATGACCCTGACCTCATCTGTAAAGAAGACCCAGCAACCAATGAGTACATCCACTTCCAGAAATTGCAGGTATTTATCTTTTCTGCAAAAAAAATGCAATATAAAAAAGAAATTAAATTTAATTAATTAAAAATTAAAATAAATCATTTAATGAAAAACAATTCCACTACTAATTATGCCAGTTGAATACAAGATAATGAAAGAACAGAAGATAAGTCATCAGTGAACTCATTTGTTTTATCCAGTGATCACAAAAAGAAAAAGAATTTTTATTGACATTAATTTAAATGATATTGTTACTTTATCTTTACTTACCAATTTGTTCTCTTTTAGACTCTAGCAGGACACTTTACCAGTGTTGATGACTACCAAACAGCATCAGAAGAGTTCACATCACTCAGAGACATGAAAGAGATTAACTACTCAGAAGCCATCAGAAAGATTGCAACATTGAAAGACTGCTATCCAACACTGGCACAGTATGCTCAGATTCTCCTAGTTATACCAGTATCAACAGCAGACTGTGAAAGATCTTTCAGCACCCTCAACAGACTAAAGACATCCCTTAGGAACCGCCTGTGCCAGAAAATTCTGAACCCACTCATGACTATCTCCATTGAAGGACCAGCTGTGCAAGATTTCAACTTCCCAGAATGTGTTAAGCTGTTTGGCAAGGCAAAGAACAGAAAGCTTACTACTGCTTGAATAGTGAATTTTGTGACTTTGATGACTATTAGTGCTTTGAAAAATGTAAATGTGAATATTATATCTTGTGTATAATCATGTGTTATTTATTCTTAAATGACTTTTGTGACTTTAGTGCAGTTATTTAAAAAGTGACTTTTGTTTAAAGACTACTAGTGCTTTCTTTTAAATGATAGTAAATGTGAATAATATATAGTAGCTTTGTTCAGTGCTGGTTTCTATAATATTATATCTAGTGTGAACTCATGTTTTATTTATTCTTAAAAGATATTAAGGTATTCAAACTGTTTATTGATTTACTTCTTTTTTTACCAATAATTTTCTGACCCAAAGTCTACATAACACAGTACCACATTAAACAAAACAAAGGACAAAAAGGTAATGAC